TCTCAATTGTAAACTTTCCACTTCAATGTAGCAACATTCCAGCAGCGCCTGCAGAAGGAGTATATATCTCCCAGTTGATATGATATTCATGTGCTTGCATTTCCTATTATGATTTACTTTATAGAGGGTTGCTGCTGCAAAGATTTTATTAAATCAAGGTTTCTATAGGTTAAGTTTAAGTCACCCCTTCCACGGAAAATTGTACGGACACCATCACGAGTTAGTTGACCGTTATTGAATATTTGTTTGACAGATGACGACGGATATGTCCGAATCGTAACCATAATCCCGTCCTTTTCCATCGAATGTGACATCACCGAATTAGACTTGTTATAGAATTTGTACTTATATGAGCAACACGACGGGTACCACAGGTGGAGCAAGATCTGCCTACCCTCCCAGAGGACCCGAAATCACCCCGGTTCTTCGTGGTGTTCATTTGTTCAGTCTTTACATTCTATGTAGCGTTTTGACGGGTTTACATTCCGTACTTTCCCGCGAGTTGCCTGGTGATATTACTTCAAAAGGGAAATCCTCTCTCAGCTGTTCGAGTCATTATCATTTAGCTTCAGTTGTGCTTGCGCTTTTGTAATATAAGTCCGTATAAAGCGAAAGGTCAGGTTTCAATTCTTGGAAAACTCAATAAATAGACCATCAGAAATAACACCAACAGCAACCTTCCTATTCAACTCTGCTTTACAACAAGGCAAAATACCAGACCAGTTGGAAAGGCAGGCGTAACACATCTATTTAAGAAAGACGAGGGAAAGCTACCAACTATAAACCTGGTTCATTGACATCTACCAACTATAAACATGTGCCATTGACATATAAAAACTATAAACCTGTGCCATTGACATCTACCAACTATAAACCTGTGGCTTGGAGACCTACAAACTATAAACCTGTGTCATTGACATCTACCAACTATAAACCTGTGCCATTGACGTCTACTAACTATAAACCTGTGTCATTGACATCCACCAACTATTAACCTGTGCCATTGACATCTACCAACTATAAACCTGTGCCATTGACATCTACCAACTATAAACCTGTGCCATTGATATCTACCAACCATAAACCTGTGCCATTGACATCTACCAACTATAAAGCTGTGCCATTGACATCTACCAACTATAAACCTGTGCCATTGACATCTACCAACTATAAACCTGTGCCATTGACATCTCTCAACTATAAACCTGTGTCATTGACATCTACCAACTATAAACCTGTGCCATTGACATCTACCAACTATAAACCTGTGCCATTGATATCTACCAACCATAAACCTGTGCCATTGACATCTTCCAACTATAAACCTGTGTTATTGACATCTACCAACTATAAACTTGTGCCATTGACATCTACCAACTATAAACATGTCAAGGACATTTCCCAACTATAAACCTGTCATTGACATCTACCAACTATAAACCTGTGTCATTGACATCTACCAACTATAAACCTGTGCCTTTGACATCTACCAACTATAAACATGTGCCATTGACATCTACCAACTATAAACCTGTGTCATTGACATCTACCAAATATAAACCTGTGTCATTGACATCTACCAACTATAAACTTTTGCCATTGACATCTACCAACTATAAACCTGTGTCATTGACATCTACCAACTATTAACCTGTGCCATTGACATCTTCCAACTATAAACCTGTGCCATTGACATCTTCCAACTATAAACCTGTGCCATTGACATCTACCGACTATAAACCTGTGCCATTGATATTTACCAACTATAAACCTGTACCATTGACATCTACCAACTATATACCTGTGGCATCGACATCTACCAACCACAAACCTGTGCCATTGACATCTACCAACTATAAACCTGTCAAGGATATTTCCCAACTATAAACCTGTGCCATTGACATCTACCAACTATAAACCTGTGCCATTGACATCTACCAACTATAAACCTGTGTCATTGACATCTACCAACTATAAACCTGTGTCATTGACATCTACCAACTATAAACCTGTGCCATTGACATCTATCAACTATAAACCTGTGTCATTGACATCTACCAACTATAAACCTGTGACATTGACACCTACCAACTTTAAACATGTGGCTTGGAGACCTACAAACTATAAACCTGTGTCATTGACATCTACCAACTATAAACCTGTGCCATTGACGTCTACTCACTATAAACCTGTGTCATTGACATCCACCAACTATTAACCTGTGCCATTGACATCTTCCAACTATAAACCTTTATCTTAAGTTGCAAGATCATGAAGCACATTATGCACATGCAGTAACATTATTCATCATTTGAAAGTCTAGATTTTATTCAATCCAAACTTGGCTTTAGAAAGTTTAAGATTTGATGAAAGCAAGTTAACACTAGCAATCATTGAATGGGGAGCAAACAGACTGCATTTTACTCAAGTTTTCCAAGACTTACAATTAAGTCGCTCGCCAGAGTGACGTGTAATCAGCAAATGTGACTACTATTGAATAAAGCAGTTGATATCTGGCTTCTCTTTTGAAAGAACACAACATATAGTAATTGAAAGAGAGAGAATTATCAAAATCGGTTATAACATCAAGAATACCTCAAGGAACAGCAAAAGGCTGCTTTCTCTTCCTGGTATATACCAATGACTTTCCTAAGCCAGTTACATCAAAGGCCATGTGATTATAAAAAAGAAGATGTGGTATGATTGCCAATGAGACAACTCTCCACAAGAGACCAAATGACACAGAAATTAACAACTATAGGTCACCGTATGGCCTTCAACAATGAGCAAAGCCCATACCGCACAGTCAGCTATAAAAGGCCCCGAAATGACAATGTAAAACAATTCAAACGAGAAAACTAACGGCCTAATTTATGTACAAAAAATGAACGAAAAACAAATATGTAACACATAAACAAACGACAACCACTGATTTACAGGCTCCTTTACTTTATGACAAGATAAAATGCTCAAAAGACGAAAATAGTCCGATAAGTCTACAGAATATCTGCAGGGTTTGAAGCATGCTAGGTCTTAAAGGAAACAAACTAGACAAACGCAACCCTATACTTAATGAATACAGTGGACATGGAGAATCATTGGGGACAGTAAATACGGAAAAGTATCTAGGCCTTACACCAGCTTCAACCTATCTTTTAATAACACACCAACAACATATAGTAGCACAGACACTGCCACATCTGTGCTTTTTACGCAATTACAGCAACCAATATCCAAGATCAATACCCAATATTATGAGACATTAATTAGACCCATTATGGAATACGACTGTGCTATATGGGACCCGGTGACTAATACCAACATCAACGGCATAGAAAAAGTTAAAAGCTAAGACAGCCAGTTTCATCATATCATGGGAGCCTAAAGAACAACTAGAACCCTCAAATCCATGCTACATCTTGAATGGTCTCAGTTGAAGAAGGGGGAAAGGGCCACAGTACTCTAAAGAGTACTCCATCACTCAGTTGCTGTACGAACTAAGATTATCTCTTCCACAAGGAGGAGCCTCCTCCACCAGTGATATGAACTCCCGTATGCCGGGATTCAGTACTAGTGACACCAGCAATCTTTCTTTCAGTCAGCAACCATAAGAAATTACCAGCAAATTAAGGTTTGATGCCTTCAAGAGCAGTCTCCCAACAACACTCCACTAAATGTATAGGCATACTCAAGTTTGGATTTTAATTTGGTAATTTGATGTTGTTTCCACAATAATCGTTTTGCAGGTTACACGGGAAAAGAATTCAATACCAGGATCTTTTTTTTACCTATGCCAATAGTAGATATATTTCTTGTCATCGATGATCCTATTACTTGTTTAAACCCTTTGAAGTCAATGTTTTTTTTTTATCATGCATGACCTGAATATTACAAGAACAAGACCTGGTAAGGACAAATATCTTTTTTTCAGTTTTTATGCAATATTTAAAAAACACATTATGTAATTGGGTCATGTAAAATTTTCCTTGTGAGTTCAGTATTTTTGTTATTTTACTTTTTATTATGATTACTAAAGAACCTTTCACTAAAGTCGATAAGATTGATTTTATAAATTGCTATCATTATAAAAATTTATAATCATTATTGTTGAATGGGTATGGTTGGTGAACAATGGACTTGATTACTCCTTGTTATCACACACTCAAAGGAAAACAGTGCCTATACTTTATGAATGTCAAAACCACTTTATGCGACTATTACCTACTGTTGTCCAACCCTGCTATTGTATCAAGAAGTTGAAGAATATAAATAAAATTTAAGACATAATTGCATTTTGAACAAAATCAAATGTAAACTATATATAGCTATGAAGACTAACTATCATTCAGGTTAAAATTTACTTTGTTACAAACTTTAATTGACATGTTTATGCAATACTTTACTAATTCTTGAAAAAAATGCAAGGGCATTTGTAATGTATTTCTTGGAATTTTATGTATGAAATTTGTAATATACAGAGGAGCCGAAATATTTCCAAGATTGTTGTCTTGAATTTTGTCTTCAAGAAAGCTAAACAAGCTAGAATGCCAAAGCAGTGCAACGGTTAATTCACAGCTCTGTGTTGAATCTAGAACTTTTCACTAGCCATTTATCATGCAAAAGTGTTTCCAAATTTTCAAATTATTCCAAATTACATTTCTTTACAATCTCACTGCCAATTTTAGGGGATTGAATTATTTTTCAGTCTAGTAGCTGTTCAATTAATATGATGTATAGCACCTGCGCTATTGTGATCCATGAACTATTCAGTCAGTAAAATGTAAATTGTATGTCTGAATTCTCAAGTTTTAAAGTACATAACATAAGATTTTTTTTTTAAATGCAGAACATCTGCATATTCATCACGATCATTATTTGCAATGAGCTAGTTTTTCTCTCTCTCTCTCCAAAGACAGAAAGATCCAATTTGATTATGTATAAAAATTATTTAATGAAATGAAACGAAAACTAGTAAATTCTGCTTTATCACAACTAACAAATTAATTGATTAATCTATTTGTTGAAATTTCATACCATCAATATACAATATACATGAAAGTGAACATTTAAAACAAAAAAAAACATAATCTGACAAAATTAATTAAGACTTTTATTATAATGACTATTTTTAAGTTATAAACAGCATCAGAGATTTCAAAACAGAGCTACAGATGCCAACACTGTAAAACCAAGCAAAACACTTTCAATTATTTGTTCAATAACAACACTAACAAGTGGAAAGTGTTAAAACAGTATTATAATTCTGACTAATTTGTAATAAATTAGCTTATTTTCAGTTCCATTCTCACCTTTTCTTTTCTTCTCATCTTCTACTAGAATCATTAATCTTTATCTTGGATTTTTTCTCACCTAATCTTTTTGGGGAATGTGATGATAGATAGTACACTTTACTTCAATTGGTGAATGGAAATGTTCATTAGACCACCAGAATCTGGTTCTCAGCGTTTATTTTTAGTTCTGTTGTAGAAAGGTGGGTATTCAATACAACACATTATTTGAACAACTATTTTTGACCAAGATCAATGTCAATCATTTCTATATATAGTTGAGATGGACAATTTCATTTATTTAAGAATTCTGTTGTATTTCTGTGATTATAATTAAAATGAAACTATGGGGTTATGTATATTCTAGATCACTAGGACAAATCAATTTTTAAATTGAGAGTTGTTTCTTATTTTCTAAATTGCAATTATGAAGGAAATTCCAAGACTTATAATTAGCATAATTCATATAAATGTTATGACCTCAATAAATAGGAGCTATCAGTTGATATTTTTGTTTTGTGACATGATAATGTCCAGAGAACCAGACAATTTATTATAAATGGCTAAGTAGTACAAAGTTATATATAGTTAATAACTTATACATAGAAAGATTTGATTTAAAAAATTTTGCTATTGCAGTTCACAAAAATCAAGAACATAACATCATATTTGTCCTTCACTAATTGGTAACACTACATTTGAAAGGAAAGAAATAAGATCATCATTGTCCAGATCCAACTCTAAAAATCTGTCTACTATCATTTTACTCCTGAAAAAGAACAATATTACAAAATGTATTATGGTAGCTTAATGGTATAAGTTTGGTTTAATGCAATGCTTATAGTGAAACCCTTTCCAAACAAACCTCTATGAGACTGCAGATTTTTTATTGATTAAGCAAGTTTAAGTTTACACAGGTTTTTGATTTCGGCATGTTTCACTGTCACAATTTCACAAATAGTATTTTTTATTATGTCCTGTAACATGCAATGAATATTTGTTAAGCACATTTATTTCATGGTTCTTGATTGTTTGTATCCATTTAGATGATTGAAATAATCCTTCAAAAGCGAAAAACCATGGACACAATGACTAAATTAGGAAATTATTTAAAAAAGAAATTTTTTCTGTCAAAAGTAGCTTTCCAACATTGAAGTATTAACAATGAAAGTGCTATAGTAATAATAGAACCATGCCTAAAAAACTCAACACTTTTAAGGTATTTCAATTTAAGTGGAAATTTTTTTACAACTAATTGAAAAGACTAAGTATGATAGTGAAATCTAATGAACTAATGCCATACAGTATAAATACAATATAAACACAGGTTGCATGCAAACTAAATGCTAACATACCAGTCTAAATTACCTTTTATATTGTGTATCAGTACCCTCAGTATCAACTTTCTCTATAGGTTTGTTTTGTCTAATCAGCTCTGATACCTGCAACAATAGTATTTTATAATATTGTTTTTGAAACAGTCATCAAAATTGTTTTCCTGCTGGACTGAATATCATCTGACATATCAAAAACCAATTAACACTAGAAGTTCTATGTATTCACTAGATGACAGAATTAAGTACATCAACATCTTTTATTTTAACCAGAAATATGCTCAACTTATAGAACAGCTTTTTTTTTCCGTTTTAATTTTCAACAAGTTCTTCCTAAAAAATTATGGAGACTGCAGTGTTGAGCTTAAACGCTTGTGGTGCTTTGAAGTACAGAGGACAATAGAATAAAGATTTTAAAACTATGAAGTAATTACGGAAAATTTAACCTCATATGGTACCAAACCACATATGTGAAAATGCATCAGCTTCAAAGGAGCCATCATACATATCCAAGTTTATATAGACAGAGAAATTGAAATAAAATGGTACTGCCTACCTACAAAGAATTGCACATATTGACCCAGTATAAATAATGTATAAACAAGAAATGATTGTAACAGGATGCTGTTACGAAGTCTCCCAAACGAAGCTCCCATAATTCGTAATTCCCAGGGTCGTCTGACATTGGGCAAAGTCCAGTGAAAATTGGTTTGGTAAAGTTATATGCATTAGTGATGCCTTGGGACTAACCCTGTATATCAATCAAATCATCTTGGCATGACAAACCAGAATATATATGGTTTAGGGGTGGGGATCTCGACCACTTACAAGATACTAGAACATTGGGGGTGGGGGGAACCCCTGGGGATGACCCTATACGTCATTCAAATGTTCGAGACATGACGAACAGGAATATATATGGTTTAGGGGTGGGGATCTCAACCATTTACAAGATATTAGAACATTGGGGGTGGGGGGAACCCCTGGGGACTGACCCTATACGTCATTCAAATGTTCGAGACATGACAAACAGGAATATATATGGTTTAGGGGTGGGGATTTCGACCATTTACAAGATATTAGAACTTTCTCAAATGGCAGGGGGTGGGGGATGACCCCTGGGGACTAACCCTGTAAATCATTCAAACCATCTTTGCATGACAAACCAGAATATATATGGTTTAGGGGTGGGGATCTTGACCACTTACAAGATATTAGAACTTTTTAAATGGCAGGGGCTGGGTGTGACCCCTGGGGACTAACCCTGTATATCATTCAAACCATCTTTGCATGACAAACCAGAATGTATATGGTTTAGGGGTGGGGATCTTGACCACTTACAAGATATTAGAACTTTCTTAAATGGCAGGGGGTGGGGGTGACCCCTGGGGACTAACCCTGTATATCATTCAAACCATCTTTGCATGACAAACCAGAATATATATGGTTTAGGGGTGGGGATCTTGACCACTTACAAGATATTAGGTTTTTCTTAAATGGCAGGGGTTGGGGATGACCCCTGGGGACTAACCCTGTATATCATTCAAACCATCTTTGCATGACAAACCAGAATATATATGGTTTAAAGGTGGGGATCTTGACCACTTACAAGATATTAGGTTTTTCTTAAATGGCAGGGGGTGGGGGTGACCCCTGGGGACTAACCGTGTATTTCATTTGATTTGCTTTATAATGACAAACCAGAATATATATGGTTTAGGGGTGGGGATCTTGACCACTTACAAGATATTAGGTTTTTCTTAAATGGCAGGGGGTGGGGATGACCCCTGGGGACTAACCCTGTATATCATTCAAACCATCTTTGCATGACAAACCAGAATATATATGGTTTAGGGGTGGGGATCTTGACCACTTACAAGATATTAGGTTTTTCTTAAATGGCAGGGGGTGGGGATGACCCCTGGGGAGTAACCCTGTATATCATTCAAACCATCTTTGCATGACAAACCAGAATATATATGGTTTAGGGGTGGGGATCTTGACCACTTACAAGATATTAGGTTTTTCTTAAATGGCAGGGGGTGGGGATGACCCCTGGGGAGTAACCCTGTATATCATTCAAACCATCTTTGCATGACAAACCAGAATATATATGGTTTAGGGGTGGGGATCTTGACCACTTACAAGATATTAGGTTTTTCTTAAATGGCAGGGGGTTGGGGTGACCCCTGGGGACTAACCTTGTATTTCATTTAATGTGCTTTATCATTTAGAACATTTTCAATTAAAAAGATTGTGTCTATCACAAACGGTTTTCAATTTATAATCATTTGAAAATTTAAAAAAATAAAATCCCATAGGGTTCTATAGTAAAACCCTACTTTCTTTTTGCCCCTCAAAGTACCCCTTTATAAATCCTATTGCACAAACAAAACCCTGATTGCACCACTAGACATGTTAGTCTAACATATTGTGAAACCCTAAGTTAATCTGACTAGCGGTTTTGGAGAACGGGTGCGGACAAGTTCAAATTTAAAAGTGGCGGAAGAGGAAGAGGAAGAGGAAGAAGAATAATAATAATAATAAGAACTGAGCAAAAACAATAAGTCTTCCCAAACTTCGTTTGGGAGACTTAATAATTGCATTTAAATGATTCTCTGATTAATCTTACTGTTACTATAGCCCCTGATCTATGTGTCATATCATATGCTATAACCCATACAAATAAACAATAACTTCTTGAGGTACTATATATATCAACCTTCCATGGTTCCCCCTGTATCTCACCTCATTTCCACGTTTTACTATTTCCTGTGGTAGTCCAGCTTGGAGTGCTATATGGCTTGCATAACTAGAGTTGGTATGACCCTCTACTAAATGATATAGTAACAGTAACTCTTCTCCATCATGAACAGTTTCTAATGTCTGAATGTAAAAGACAAATTATACAGTGAATGGTCCAAATTTTGTTTTAAATTTTATTTTTCAAGATGTCATTTTGTTTTGCTTATCCATATTTGAAAAGTAAAGTGTAAAGTCAGATTCACAACCCACATAAACAATAAAGCATTTTATTTATGTATATATCTAGGTGTGCCAAATAAAGTAATGACAAGTATGTATAAATTGAAGCTGTTAGTGTAAACAATATTTTATTGTGAAAATAATAACATAAACATTACAAATATGAGAGTTTTATCAGGATTGGAAAACAAGTCAATTATCACAATATAGATGTTGAGATATTAGTAGAAAATATTACTGTCCATAGCATATCCTGACAATTTACTTATTTTAAACAAGTTCTGAATTAGAAAAAAACAACACTTTATACTCACCATGTATTTAATCTTTGGAGATTTTGGAAGCAAATGTTGGTTGATCAAACTGTGGAAATGTGTACATACAAAAACATGTGGGCAACGCTTTCCCATCTCTAACCAATAAGTTAGACATCCACAAAGTAAGGACATCCCATCCACCTGTTACAATAAAACATGTGACAATTACCAATTTGAATAAATTATTTGTTTTTAAATACTTATTTGGATTCTTGAGATTTGAAAGTAAAATTGTCATTTTCTAAAATTCCATATAAGTGTCAGCATGCCAGAAATTAAAAGGGGCTGTAGAACCTTAATCATACTCGTTCAACAAATTTTATATACAATTTCCTGCCTGATTCCAAATTCAGTCATATCCATACAAGTTTTTCCATTTTTATTAACACTAGAGGCCATTTAACTAACCATTTCTGTGCCTTTACCAAACTCGTCAATAATAATTAAACTACTCTCTGTAGCGCTCTTCAAAGCCTGAGACATCTGTTAAATAAAATATATACAAATTGACAAATAGTGTTTTGCACAAACAAAAAACCAAAAAATATATGAAATTAATTGCTATGCACAGGAATCCTATCAACCAATCAGGACATCAGATAAAGCCTTCAAAAAGTATACTACAAGCGCCAAACTTCATTTAGGACTCTCAGGATTTTAATTCTGTCTTACCAACAACAGAACACTTTACCAGTAATGTGCTGCCTCTTATGAAATTAGTTCAATTTGAATCAAGTGACACTTTAAGGTTTCTGACATCAGCATGTTTAAATGTGCTATATTGAAAAAGAAAGTCATTACAAAAATTTACTTCAAATTGTTAGTCCATCAAATGTGGTCTATATAGAATATTTTGAGTTATGCAAATGATATTTATATTAATTTGGAAACTAAAATTATATATTTAAATGTTTTATATGCAGAAAATCATCAAAGCAAAAAATCAATCTAGATCAATGTCCATATTTCTGATTATCCAAGTGTATTAAATTCTAAGATGAACAAGCTCATCATATGCTATGAATATATTTTTTTCATTCCAAAAAAGGGTTTCACTTTCGATGTGACAGGAAAACTTGAAAATTAACTTTCAGCAACTCTGGCAATTTGTCACTTTCCCAATTCACTTTTTCCTTTATTGAGCAAATTTGCCATGTTATGGTTTGCAACTGGATTTTGAATTTAATTTCTTGTAAGATCATATGTTTTTGAAGCAAATGAATGGATAAGTGAAATAATAAGTAAAGTACATCCAAAATTATGGCTATTTAATTTATGCCTTTGATGAAGAAGGAATACCTGGTTGATGTCAATCATAAATGTTGACAGTCCAACAGACACACTATCCAGAGACTGTATTCTGGTGTATATTCTTTCTATAGGACCAATCGATGCTGACTCTGCAGGGACAAAGCTTCCTATATGGGCCATGTATACTATCACTGCTACCTATAGAAAGTGCAAATTATATCAAAAGATTTAGCTAAGCTTTCAAATTACTTTAGTTTTGTAATGTTAAAATTCTTTTAACACTTTCAATACTACCAAGTATTACCTTATTCAATAAATTTTGCTTATTATTTTTCTCTAATTTTCACTGTGCATACAAAAAAGTGAAATATTAATACTCTCTAAAAACTCCTTTATACATTTAAAAAATGCACATTATTATATCAAACAAGCACTCTGAGAGTATTGCATGGCAATACATAGTCCCCTACCGGTTAAATTTCATTATACTGGAACAAAATGCTTACTTGATCTATAACTTGTCATGGTGTAAACTATTAAACAAATATCAAGTCAATATCTTCAAGCATGATGAAAAAAGGTGTGGAAACTGATTATTTGAGTGAATTTTCCGAGTCCAAGGACCATAATTCTGCACAAAATCTTCCGACCGGATAACAAAATTAGTACTTGATCTGTAACTTGTCATTATAAAACTACATACCAATCATCAAATCAATATCTTCAAGCATGACCAAAAAAAGGGTGGAAAACTGATTATTTGGGTGAATTTTCTAAGTCCAAGGACCATAACTCTGCACAAAATCATCAGACCGGAACAAAATTCGAACTTGATCTGAAACTTGTGATGATAACATTATATACCAATTATCAAATCAATATCTTTAAGCACGAAGGAAAAAAAAGGCAGAAAACTGAATATTTGAGTGAATTTACTAAGTCCATGGACGATAACTCTGCACAAAATCATCAGAACAGAATAAAATTCAAACTTGATCTGTAACTTGTCATGATGAAAATATATACCAAATATCAAATCAATAGCTTCAAGCAAGAAGAAAAGAAGTGTGGAAAACTGATTTACCAGACAGAGTGCAAACCGAAAGTCCCCTTCGACTTTGTCGGTAGGGGACTAATTACAGTGTAGTTTTCATTGTTTCGCAAATTTTGGTATTATTGATTTGAGTAAACACTCTCTTGTATGTTAGAACATCCTGTAAATGTTTTAACAACAGAATTTAGCTAACCTGTTTTAAGTAAACACTTTTGCCACAAGCATTAGGTCCTGTCAGAATTTTAATATTACTATAATCTTGGCCGCTGCATACATCATTTGGTACAAAGGGACTACAACACAATTCTTGCAGTGGATGTCTGTTAATATATGATTAAAAATATGCTTCAAATATTTATATGTCTTTTCTGAAACAAATTAAAATGTAAAATATTAAAGTAATTTTTAGTTTTTGGCTTCCTGTTTGGGGGTAAAATTCTGGAAAACTTGTATGTTCTCTACTTTTATGGTTTTCTGAATCATTTCAATGTTTCCATTTCTCATATCACAAATTTCTCTTTAACAACTGAACCTGCATAAATCTGACATGTGTTTAATCAAAAAACTATGTGGTGAAGACAAATTCAATTCATCTGCATTCTATACATGGGAGATAACTCCAACTTACTTGCATTAAAAATACACAAGAAACTTGAGAACATTACAGAATATGTTATCTTACCAACATATGCACAAAATATGAGGTTTAAGTAATTTCAATCCAAGGGATAAATAATATAACATAATGTCAATAGTTTACAGCACAGTTCCTTACCTGCCTGATTTAATATCTATTACATTTTCTGGTACCAGCTTGGGTTTAACATAATTAAACTCTTTAGCACAAGTAGCAAATGCCAATAAACTGAAATAACAAATCAGGAAATGTTTGACATAAAACATGTAATCTCAGAAATATGCATTGAATTCACTGTTTTGTAGTTATCTTAACTGAAGCATGAAAGTACATCATAGTAACTAGATATCATTGAGATGGGCCCCGCTGTGAATAATGTGTGGTAAAAAATTTGTATCTTTATCATTGCACATGGGGTTGTCAACTGAAACTGAAGTTTATGACCTTGACCTTTGACCTAGGAAGTTGTACATAAATTATGACACACCCTCTGGTGTTGGTTTATATACATGTCAAGTATAAAATTTGAAATCATAACGGTTCTCAAGATATAGAGCGGACACAATCTTTACGATAGGACATGGGGTCGTCAACTAAAACCAAAGTTTTTGACCTTGACCTTTGACCTAGGAAGTTGTACATACATTATGACACACCCTCTGGTGTTGGTTTATATACATGTCAAGTATAAATTTTGAAATCATAACGGGGGGGGGGGGGCCTAGTTAACAACTGCACAATGTATGTCCATTGCCTCTTTTTTACCACTAAAGTCACAAAACCCCACTAAAACAAATCTGAAATTCATTAAAGATAACATGGATGAAACCTTAATGGAATCAAATTGTTCTCATTATTTTTTAAAGGTCCAATAAAGCACACCTGAAGAGTCAAGATATGTAGTCAGTTTAGACTCCCAAGTCAAATAAATTTGGAACAACAAATTTTTAAATTATCAAAATCTAAAAGGACCTTGGCTTTATGGAACATAACATAGTCAATTTTTTTGTTTAATTTCCAAGTATGGAAGTTATCATAGGACATGCTTCAAATCATTGATATTTTTTACAATTATAGTGCTATAACTCTGGAATGACATATTAAATAATGCTAAAAACTGCAATGAAGCATGTAAATATGAAACCAGATTACTATTATAATTTATCGAATACATGTAAATCAAACTTAAGGAATACCTAAAAACTTAAACATATTGTCAATTTTATTTTACAATTAATGTCCCATTACTTTGGAACAACATTGTCTAAAAATCTGGCAAAGATTTGTAATGTTATCTCATGACAATATGTAAATGCTTGGACATATTGACTGATGTCAGTGCACAATACAACATCAGGAATTGAAATCAATATAAGTTTTATCAAAACTTTTCAATCCCTACCAAGTTTCATAAAATGTTTTAAATTCTTGTTATATACAACATAATAAAAACATATTTGATAATGTCCATATAAACATGTTTTAAATAGAAAAATCTTCCATTTTATTAAATAAATAAATGGGGAATGTGTCCATGGGACACAGATGATGCCCCCGCTTGCATATAAAGTTATAAAGGGACATACCGGAGGAACGGTAAAAGTGACGCTACCCAAATTTGTACTTGATCTGAGTTTTGTGGTAATAAGTATTGTGTATAAGTTTCATAAAATTTGGTTGAGGCAAACTTAAGTTAGAGAACAGAAACAAAAAATTAAGCAATTTTTCCATTTGTAAAGGGGCATAACTCTAGAACGGTTAAAGTGACGCCACCAAAGTTCAAACTTGATCTGTATTTTGTGGTAATAAGCATTGTGTATAAGTTTCATAACATTTGGTTGAGGCAAACTAAAGTAAGAGAACAGAAACGAAAAATTCAGCAATTTTTCCATTTGTAGAGGGGCATAACTCTAGAACAGCAAAAGTGACGCCACCACATTTCGAACTTGATCTGTGTTTTGTGATAATTAGCATTGTGTATAAGTTTCATAACATTTGGTTGAGGCAAACTGAAGTTAGAGAACGGAAACAAAAAATTTAGCAATTTTTCCATTTGTAAAGGGACATAACTCTAGAACGGTTAAAGTGATTGATCTGTGTTTTGTGGTAATAAGCATTGTGTATAAGTTTTATATCATTTGGTTGAGGCAAACTAAAGTTAGAGAACGGAAACCAATTTTGGGACGTACGTACAGACGTACGTACAGACGTACATACAGACGGACAAGGGTAAAACTTGATGCCCCCTCCGCTATGGCGGGGGCATAAAAACTAAACTATCAACTTCTTGTATTAAGGATGATTCTTTTTAATATGAAGGGGATTCTGTGGCTGAGTGGTCTAAGTAGTTCATCTTCTGCATCACTAGCCAGTCAACACTGAGGTTGTGAGTTCGAACCTTACACTTGGCAGGTGCTTTCAACCCCAATCTTATTTGACTTGGATTACCAGAATTCCTGCCAAAAGTGGTGGTTCTTTCTGGGCACTCAAGCTTCCTCCAACAATAAAAACTGGCTGCCAAGAAATAGCCAATACTGCTGAAAGTGGCATTAAGCAACAAATAATTAATCAATCAATCTTTTTAAAATGATTAACTATTTAGTAAAAAAAATGTACGAGGCTTCCATGAATCAAAGTGATGGAAATCACTCATGGAAAGATTGGAAGAGTAGTTTGAATAATTTCAAATTATATTATTGAGGTATGGTGTGGACAAAAAAAGAACATTAAAATAGCACTATTGATGATAATTGCATTAAATGCAGGTCTTTAGAAGGATAAGCACATGTGAATCAATGTTAGCGGGTCCCCTAATTTGCTCGAAATTTTCATGTAAATTGCAATTTTATATCTCAACCAAGTAACCTTCCCTGTTACATGTTTCACCTTTTACGTTTTATCTTTAGAAACAGAAGAAGATACATCTAACAAAGTTTATCAATTATCCTTTTAGGACATGGAACCAACAGATAGACTTGAAACTAAGATCTTTATTGTCTCCAAAAATTAATCTTAAAAGCTTGTTTTTGGGGCATTTTGTAAGTTGAAACATAGGTGTACTATTGTTATTATTAATTGCTTATTGATTTTGAAAACAATTATCATGATTATATGACAATGAAGTTTAAAGTTGTAGAGTGTATTTTAATTCAATTTTAATTTAATATTTTACAGAAAAGGGCATTGAATATATGTATTTTTTCAACGTAAACAAATTAAAAAACTTTTTATTGAAATGGGGATTCATTCTTAATTGCAAAAATACACTTCCTGTATTCAAATGACTAATATTGTTAAAAGACATTTGATGGGGAATAAATTAAAAAAAATATTGGATTACTCCGGTTAAGAGTATTGAAATTTTACTTACTGTTTCAAGCCAATCACTGATTAGTGTAACCTAAATTATTGATTAATTACAGATGAGGATTGCACAGATTTATCACGTAAAATAAAGATCTTACTTGAATACCTTTTTCATATCTAGATTTCATATTTTGTCTTTTCTTTTGAAAAAAATTTATCTTGTTAATTCTTAATCATTTATCTTTCAGACATAATTCATAGAATCACTTTATGTAGTATAGATCAAAAGTATTAATAGGCAATGAATAAATTTATCATTTCTATATATATATATACACATTTGTGTATTCAATATTGGGTCAAGTATTTGTGTATTGAGATGTATAATGAAGGGTCTACTTAATTATGTAAGACTGAGGATGATTAGTAATTTGGTAATATGATTGGCATTAAAGGAGGTGGGACATTGTAATTAAGCCCCACCTTGTCTCTGATTGTTTAGTGAGCATGGCAGTTGTCAATCAAACTGGTATTGTATCATTACTCTTACCTAATTTTAAAAAGTGACAAAAAAAGCCTGCAAATTGACATACTTAAAGACATACATACTTCAATGAACTGCTCCAAAGATATAACACACACTTTTCACAGTTCATATGTACACAGACATGAGAATTATAGGGAACTTTGTTAAGCCTGTAGAAGAATCTGAATTCTGTCAAGATATTTTCAAGAGTTGTGCAATAACAAACTGATATAAGCAAAATTGGCCATGTCTTGGTGTGGTTAAAACCCTAAATCACTAAGATCAATTAATAAACTAGGAGGTGCACAACTACGTGCCCTGTAAAAGAATCTGTTGAATTTTGTCCTGTCATTATCAAAGGAGTTGCAGATTACCATCAAGTGTGACAGGATCAAAGACGATGCAAGACAACAGAAATGATCCTTATGTAAACTTAATGTATATGGCTTGGCATTGCCAAAAGAAATCATACATTTAAGTTAGTCTAAGTTGTTTTACACTTTTTTTATGGTATTAAGTTCATGCTTGAGATTTTGTGTTCAAATGAAATAATTTTTACCAGTCCAGTTCCCCACATAACTCCAAAACTTCCAACAAAGCCTTTGTATGTTCAAGGATGGAATTCTGTAGCTTGTGCATTATACTGGTCTCCTGATCTGTCAAAAAATGTATATAAATTTCAAATTTCATTTATCATAGTCAAGGTGCATTCTTGCTATTTACATTAGCTTTTTATAACTATGCATTGAAACAAGACTTCACCAAATGGAAGATGGGCAATTTCAACTGAAGTGAGGGATTGGACCCATGCCCAGAAGTGATTTCAGAATTTGAATTGAAGGTTAACTGGCTTTAAATTGAGTATAGTTGCCGGTTTACATTGTATAAACCTATGATATATTGCATTTTAAAAATATGCATCCTTTTACCTTGTATATCATTCTGATATGCATGTGAAACTAAGGATATATTAACCTTCTAAATACCTTGATCCTTTTATCATGTACTAAGCTAAACACATGCCTTTGATTATGTTTTATATCACACCAGAAGGCAAGTGAAACTAATGATATGTTCATATACTAAGCTAAAACATGCTTTCCTTTACCTTATACCACACTGATGGGCAAGTGAAACTAATATTTTCACATACTAAGGTAAACACATGGTTTTCTTTACCTAATATAACACTGATCCACAAGTGAAACTAATATGTTCACACACTAAAGTAAACACATGCATTCCTTTGCTTTTATATCACATTGATGGGTAAGTGAAACTAATGATAGGGTCACCTACTCAGATAAACACATGCATTCCTTTACCTTGTATAACACACTGATAGGCAAGTGAAACTGATGATATGGGCACCTACTAAAATAAACACATGTGTTCCTTTACCTTGTATAACACACTGATAGGCAAGTGAAACTGATGATATGGGCACCTACTAAAATAAACACATGTGTTCCTTTACCTTGTATAACACACTGATAGGCAAGTGAAACTGATGATATGGGCACCTACTAAAATAAACACATGTGTTCCTTTACCTTGTATAACACACTGCTAGGCAAGTGAAACTAATGATATGGGCACCTTCTTAAATAAACATGTGTTCCTTTACCTTGTATATCACACTGATAGGCAAGTGAAACTAATGATATAGTCACCTACTAAAATAAACACATGTGTTCCTTTACCTTGTATAACACACTGATAGGCAAGTGAAACTGATGATATGGGCACCTACTAAAATAAACACATGTGTTCCTTTACCTTGTATAACACACTGATAGGCAAGTGAAACTAATGATATGGGCACCTACTAAAATAAACACATGTGTTCCTTTACCTTGTATATCACACTGATAGGCAAGTGAAACTAATGATATAGTCACCTACTAAAATAAACACATGTGTTCCTTTACCTTGTATAACTCACTGATAGGCAAGTGAAACTAATGATATGGGCACCTACTAAAATAAACACATGTGTTCCTTTACCTTGTATATCACACTGATAGGCAAGTGAAACTAATGATATAGTCACCTACTAAAATAAACACATGTGTTCCTTTACCTTGTATAACACACTGATAGGCAAGTGAAACTAATGATATGGGCACCTTCTTAAATAAACACATGTGTTCCTTTACCTTGTATAACACACTGATAGGCAAGTGAAACTAATGATATGGGCACCTTCTTAAATAAACACATGTGTTCCTTTACCTTGTATAACACACTGATAGGCAAGTGAAACTAATGATATGGGCACCTTCTTAAATAAACATGTGTTCCTTTACCTTGTATATCACACTGATAGGCAAGTGAAACTAATGATATAGTCACCTACTAAAAAAAACACGTGTTCATTTACCTTGTTTAACACACTGATAGGCAAGTGAAACTGATGATATGGCCACCTACTAAAATAAACACATGTGTTCCTTTACCTTGTATAACACACTGATAGGCAAGTGAAACTAATGAAATGGGCACCTACTAAAATAAACATGTGTTCCTTTACCTTGTATAACTCACTGATAGGCAAGTGAAACTGATGAAATGGGCACCTACTAAAATAAACACATGTGTTCCTTTACCTTGTATAACACACTGATAGGCAAGTGAAACTAATGATATGGGCACCTACTAAACTAAACATATGGGTTCCTTTACCTTGTAATACCACTCTAGGCAAGTGAAACTAATAATATGGTCTCTACACCTGTATCTGTCTATACCTGTATTTTGGAATTGCACATTGTTTTTCTCTGACTGTTAAAGACGTCTTTACACTTAATCCATTGGATGTTGGATGTGTACTGATTGATGTTTTAGTCTTAGATATATGATTTTTTTTATTAGTTGTTATTGGTTTTGAACTAGCTGTCAGTAACTGCTAGTACTCTCAGATCTGTACTTAGTGTCTTTTTTGTTGTGGGGATGTATAAATACCCTACCACGTCTGGTCTGTGTTTTTGTTACTTGTTTTTCGATTTTGTATCGATCTGTTGAGTGAAACCTTTTTCAATAGATTTTTATAGTTTGTTCATGTTGTGCTGTTACACCACTGTAAAAGGTTAGGGGAGGGTAGGGTGCCTGCAAACAGGTTTAACCCCGCCACATTCTGTATGTGCCTGTCCCAAGTCAGGAGCCTGTAATTCAGTGGTTGTCGTTGGATGCTGTATATCATTGTCTCGTTGGCAATCATACCACATCTTTTTATTTTTATATCCCTACTAAACTAAACATATGCTCTCCTTTACCTTGTATATCACACTGAGTATCTCCTAGTAACCTGTCTAACTCTGAAAAAAGTGTTTATAAATTAACAAATTGCTTTCAATAAAAATAATCTAATGAATTATGTTTATAAAGAAATATTAAATTTCTTTAAAGTTAAAGTCTAATCTCAAAAGAACATAAGTAAAACACTTTTCTAATCAATCAAAATCAGTTCAAAATCAGTCTGATGACACAACTAGGATAATATTCTTCATAGGCCATTCCTAAATGTTTGATATTATTGAACCATCACACCGGATTCCTACTGTTTTTAAAAGTAAACATGGTGAATTTATGACATGAATTTAATTGTAAAACAACTGAGGTGTATTTTAAGGCAAGTATTTAATCTGCTAAAATTTTCTGACACAAATTGTAAATCATTCTTAGTTTGTTTGTACATTACTCCAGTGAAATTAAAAACAAGAGATAATAATGTTTCAACATTTAAACAAAAAATGGCATGCAAAATTAACACTTCTTTTAATCAATTCCATCATTTCAAAAGATAAAAGCCAAAATATAAAATCAGAAATAAGCTTGTAAATTAAATAAACTGAAAAGTATGAAACTTGAATTAAAAAATTAAAATGCTATACTTTGCTGTCTCAATGAATTTCACATAAAGAATGTCAGTTCAAAATCAAACTACACAATTCAAATTGTATGGATGGACTGATGTTTGATCTTCAGTGGCATATATTACATGCATATCAGAACAGGAACAAGAGATAGGAATATGAACCCTGCTTTGTAAACATGCTAGTTCACATATTTACATTATGCAGGAAGACATGTCACCTTATCCTGAAAAGATAAGTGACTCTGGCCCAAGGGTCCGAAAACGGTCATATTTGCCAGTCATGTCCTAAGATAAAACTATTTGTCCTAAACGAGTAATTGGGATTTAGGACAAATTTTATTTTTTTACAGAAGTAATTTCGGTCATTTCATTGACTCAATGTTTGAAATCGGATTTCGTAATCGCCATTTTGCACTTGTGATCACTTGTTTTTGTTTATAATCCCTTTCCTGTAATAAAACTGCCACTACAGCAGTTTGATAATCCTGAGGGCCCTCCTAATATCTATATCAATGCCTCTGGGAAACATTGGCTAATGATCGTTAATCACTTATTTACTCTCATCAAAGACAGTCATCAATTCTGATTTAAAAATTAAATCTAAATTTACGTAGAAAAAAGTATTTTTTCATGAGTAACACATGTGCTTTATTTACTATGTAATACGCATGCGTGAAATTGTCTTCAGCAAATTTAATATTTAATCGTAAAATGCAAATTGATTTCATGCTAAATTAAACGAGTGCAACTATTATCTGTTATATTCAAACACTTTTAAAGGTAATAAAATAAAAAAGCCATAAAAAGCCGGTGATTTCCTGTCAATTTGATAAACAAATCAAATCCCGGAAATGAATCCGGAATTATTCGTACTTTAAAATATCGCAAACTTCCGGTTTTAACTTTTGTCAAATCGAAAGAAACGTAAGCAATGTCTGAGAAATTAACCATTTTGAGTCATTAAAATCATTTCAATTTTAGACTGCTGCCTTCCCTAAACTGTCCTTCATGGTAATGGTAAGACATTTACTTAGTAAATGCGATGAAACAGCAATACAAGTTCGTTATGTTCGATGATGCTATGAATATAGTCAAGTTGATATCGACAATTTGAAAAGGGGCACCAACTTTTCAAACATCTCAAAATGACCGAAATTGTCTGGAAAAATTTCAGGATCCTTGCTCTGGCCTATGGTTTGTTATAGACTTATTGCATTTGAAACATGACAGGAGAAACAAAAAGTAGCACTTATTATCATGCTTAGCATATCTCCATCATAATATATAAAGTATTGGAAAACAGAAAGTATATGTCGGACAGATCCCAAAAGAACTCACATGGTACAACTCCTCACTGTTTAACTGCTGACCAATAATGGAGTAATTGTGTTCTACAGTACCTGAGAAAAGTGTGACAAAAATATTTGTCTAAAAATATGGACAAAGTAAATGTAATTTAGCCTGGACTCCTAGAGTGGGGTTATATCATGTAAGTGAAAGATTTTGCCATTAATAGGTCAGTGATATACCCTCTGTATTTCTGTGTCATCCACCGGTAAAACTTAAAGGTTGAAAGTGGAGGTAAACAACAACAAACAAACAAAACCCCAAAAAAGAGATATTCATAAGTATCAATATACCGTAGTAAATCTGTACAAATGCTGATAATTGAGACAGCAAAGTTAAATTACCTCTAGTTCTAGCACTTCTATAGTGTAACATATTGTTGGACATGAACTAATAAAAGTGTTTTATACTAATATGTTAATATGTAAATTACAGTACACACTATGAAGTTATGATGCTTTCAAGACTATGAAAAGAAAAACGTTAATGCTTCCAGTAACAGACAAACCCTCTCATTTTACCCCTCAATTTTTAAAGAAGGTAATTATGACATCTTTCTGTTCGGATCTGTTTTAAAATACCAACAATAGTAAATTTGCTTAACAACAATTAAACAATTAAAATTGTACAAAACCTAATGGTTTAACAATTATGAAATTAGGAATACAGTTTTATGAACTCCATTATTAAAGTATTTCCTGACATAAATTTGTGTTGTGATTATCAATAAAGTTATACTAACCACAAATTCTAGATCTTCCATGGCATACTGATCATCTGTACCATCACTTGGTTTAGGGATTGCTAGCAGATATCCAAGCTTCAAAATATCAAAGTCTATTAAAATCTTCAGTTTCAAGATCGCTAAAAGGAAGTCAAATGAGTATAAGAAGCAGGTAAAACATTTCTATTATAAATCATTGTTAATAGCCAATTATTAATAAAAGTAAAAGGTATTAAGAGCAATAAAATAATTCCAACACCTAGCTTAACTTTACCTTTACAGTTAATACACTGGGCTAAACGAGGACAAAGTATTAATTAAGCAGTAATACTACAAGACAGATCAAGTTAAAAATTGATCAACTGATATACAAATGATTTAAGGGTAAGAGTTAGACGACTTTATAATAACAAGAGAGATAACCCAGAAAAAACAAAAAGGTAATTGTTAAAATCAAACTTAACCTCTGTTTCGGTGTCTTGATAAAACAATAGTTAAAAAATTAAACTACTTGAAACAAATATTTCTAATTAAGTTAAATGTACAAACAGATTTAAGATGAGCAAGGGCCATCAATGCCTGTTGGAATGAACAGAACCTAATACCAGTTTGAAAGGACATAGACACTGATACCTGTAAGGATAGTCCTTAATACCTACTAGAATGGACATAGAACCTAATACCTGAGGTAGATATATAACATTGCATTCTGTTATATCTTCACTTAATCTGTTCAACTCCTCCTTAGCAACTTGTGTCATAAAATCAGGTAAACCATTGTATCTTCTCTTCTCTGTAAACAACAAACATCTTTACTAGTATATTACATCACCAGTGTAAACAACAAACATCTTTACTAGTATATTACATCACCAGTGTAAACAACAAACATCTTTACTAGTATATTACATCACCAGTGTAAACAACAAACATCTTTACTAGTATATTACATCACCAGTGTAAAGAACAAACATCTTTACTAGTGTATTACATCACCAGTGTAAACAACAAACATCTTTACTAGTATATTACATCACCAGTGTAAACAACAAACATCTTTACTAGTATATTACATCACCAGTGCTATTTCTAAAAGTAACAGTATTGAATTTTTTAAATATTTCATAAAATTCAATTTGTATAATATTCAACATGGTAAACTTGTATGCACACAAAGTCATTATCTTTAAAAAAAAAAAAATTGCTTTTCTGTTTGATTGAGAGGAGTTCTCTCCTTACTTATATACTGTGGATTCATTTATTTTTCGTGGGTATCAATTTTTGTGGATTGAGGAAACATTGCATTTTCGTGGATATTTGATTTCGTGGTTTTGCCAAAGTCTGCATACAAGCCTATAGAACATTTGAATTCGTGGGTCACCTTTACCCACTAAATCCATGAAAATTGATATCCCACGAATAATAATGAATCAACAGTATCTTTAATACATATTTTATAATCATCTTTTCAACAAAATCATCTTATTTGTGTTTTAAGTAGTCTTGACAGTTCTGTATTTGGCAAGTTGTTTAAATAAATAGCTCATTACACATCACTTATCTTGTCACTACTTTATTGTCATCTTTCAGTTGAAAAAAACCCATACATAAACAAAGTATCACAACATACTTTCGTCTAAATCTTCATCTACATTAGGATTAACTACAAATCTATTCTGTATACCCATCTCATCAAAATCTACCTAAAACAAAAATAAACATATAACTGTTAAAAGGTTTTCTTCAAATCACATATTGCTGAATGTTCCTGTATCTATTGACATGTTGGCAACTGTTTCATTTCCTAAAACATTCGGTGAATAGTGAATAAACATCCATGTTCATAAAAATCAAAACAATACCACTGTGTCACTGCGTCACTGCATGCAATTAATTGAGTTAACATGTATATTGAAGCATAACTAATCATTTTCATTAAAGACAAACAAAATGAGACAAAAATTTTCGAAAACAGACGAACAGAAAGAGTCGAGCAGTTACTAGACCTGCTTTGCCTTCGACAACATACATAAAAATAGATATCTTAAACTTACAATTTTACTGATTAAGTTTGCAACTCTGTGAAGTTCCTCCCCAAATTTAAGTGACACCTGCAACATCAAAAGAATTAGTTTGATTAGTAATGGTCAGTTAGAGAAGAATTATAAGATTAATTTTACCATCAATTTGTTCCCTCAGCTGATATGATAAACATTTTCTGTTATTCATAGTGATTTTGGACATTTGAATTTTGAAACTCTTTCAGAAACTTTTACTGTATTACACCTGTATTACATATATGTATCTTTTCTAATCTATTACATTCTATTCTTTTAAAGACATTATTTTCACGCAATTTCTTCTATTTTCTCTTTTCATGAACCTTTGTTGTTGGGTTGGCCATATTTATAAAACTAAGTTCAACAGCGTCATATGTTCAAGTCTCAAGTCAGTGGTTGCCTAATGTCATATCTTAATGCTTTTACTTAACTGGAGAATTTTGTATTGCTATTAGTCCTTGAAAGATCTGTTTGATTTATCCACAAGTTTTATATACTCAGGATAATCTGGAGCTTTAAATATTGTATAGATACCAGTCTATTGTTGAAGACAGTTAAATGACCTTAAATCAAATTATTTATTTTTAGATGGTGATGTTCCCTTGGCACCATCTTATGTTGATTATATATCTCAACTTGTTTGAAGCGCTCCTGTATGTAACAGCGTATTTGATTTTACTGAAAAACTATTACACCAGGGTTTTTCGATATCACAAACTCTCAAAACTTTGGCTAAATTTTACTATCAGTACAAGAACATCATTTGTAAATATAAATCTACGTGCAGACATCTTATACCTTCAGGTATTTCACATCCTATCTTTTATGGTAATTTCTATACAAAGCACAAAAATATCGTCATTCACCCAAAAAGCTAAACAAACCTTTAAATGTACTCATTCTCACAAGGGATATACTTACAATACTGTTGTCAAGTCATTAAAGATGGCATTTTTGGGAAATAATATTGATTCACTCATATGGTCTTTGCATCGGAAATAAACAAATTTATTCTAAAACCAGTTGTTGGAATGATACATGTTATGTTTTTTTCATATAATTTATGATGGCATACTAGGTCTGCAGCTGACATGTCAGTAACTGCTAGTAGTTCTTTGATAATTTATGTTGATCATTGTCATTTTTCTTAGTTTCTCCTATTACCTATTCTAACATCGGACTCAAGACTTCTTTAAATGTGACTTTTACTGTGCATATTGCTGTGTTTATTCCACATTAGCTAGAGGTATAGGAGGAGTGTTGAGATCTCACAAAACATGTTTAACCCTATTGAATTTTTGCGCCTGTCCCAAGTCAAGAACCCCTAGCCTTTTTTAGTCTTGAGTGTGTTTTTTGACAATTTTGGTTCATTTATATGTTTCAAAGTTTAGTGTGGCATCCATGTCGCTGAATTAGTATACATTATTGTTTAGGGGCCAGTTGAAGCCCACCTTCTATAGAAATATATACGCATATTGATGCATAGAGGGCTCCTTTCATGTATATGAAAAGGGCACAGAGACATAGAAAACCATATATATTAAACATAACTTACTTTTTTAAATATATCTATTGACTGTGACTGACTTTTACATAAATTTCCTATACTAATTGCATGGTATGTGGTCTGAAAAGATGAATTTGTGGGTTATTAAAAGAACACAACCAGTCTATACAAAAGGGAAATATTTCATAAACTGACAATAAATGCTTATTGATGTTGGGGCATAACAGAAATCTTACATATCAAAACATAACAATATCAATAACAATTAAAGAAAAAGATAACTTCAGCCCCTTAAACTTTTAAACATTATGTTTACTTTAATATAGTATTTTTATATGCTTATATATCGATATAAGAAGATGTGGTATGAGTGCCAATGAGACAACTCTCCATCCAAGTCAAAATTTATAAAAGTAAACCATTATAGGTCACATCACCGTCTTCAACACGGAGCCTTGGCTCACACCGAACAGTAAGCTATTATGAGTGCCAATGAGACAACTCTCCATCCAAGTCAAAATTTATAAAAGTAAACCATTATAGGTCACAGTACGGTTGTATGGTTTCCATTTGTACAATTATTTCATCATCATAATTTCTAAATTCATTTCTCATAACAAAGAATTAGCCTTCAATATAAGAGCATTTTTCCATATAATTTATGTTTCTAAGGGGCATAACTAAAGTGAAAATAAAAATAGTTGATCAGCACTGACTTTCTAACTTGTCTGAGACATTGCAGATTTAAACATTTGATATAAATTTCATAATAATCTGACAAGAAATGCAGGCAAAAGAGCTCCTATCAGTATTTGTATGCCCCCACTTGGCTTTGCGGGGAAAGACAATTAAGATTATAGTTTTGTCTAATAACAGTTGCTCCATTCAAAGTGATAACATGCTAGGATTTGAACAGCCTATACATACTCTATAAAGAGCCTGCCAATCACCAATTGAAGCCTGAGATTGCTGCATTCTTGAGAGAACCCTCTGGAAATACAAAATGAAACTAATAAATCCCAGTCAATATCATCATTAAACAGAATTTCATATCCCATAATGTAAATGGAATTGAAACAAACACATTGATAAGGGATAATTTTCAAAAGCAAATGTAATAGTTGTTATCCCTGATTCAATGACATTGTATTTTTTGCTTCGAAGTAATATTTTTAAGAAATAAATATAAGTTCTCAAATATATGAACATTTGTAATAAAAAAGATGCAGTTTTTCATTTTGTCATGCACTTCATACTACATGTAATACTGGTTTTACAATGTGAAAATTCAAGTTATCTCCCCTTGATTGGTTTCACCATCGTTTCCCTAGAGTCAAACTTCAGTTGACTTGAAATTTTATCACTGCAACTTTGTTTTCAAGTCAACTGAGGGTCAACAGTATCACCATTTAACATTGATGCTGACTAATGCATTTTCACAAAATAAATTTACTTGGGGGTGAAGAATCACATTTTAACTAATTGTTACTTAATCTTCTGAAAGAACAATCATATAATTGTGCATCCTACCCATTTTAGCAGTCAATTCAGTAACGACCCTATGAAATTATCTAATAATTTAGTACATTTGTTATGTTCTTACAGATGTATTGATTATGGGCTGCTTAACGTCCAGTGGCAAATATTTCATGCATGTTCAGGACGAGTCTTAGAGATGTGTAAAGTATATATATTTAATGAATACTTTTTTCATGTAATAAAATATAAGTACCTGAATATCTTTGACATGTTTAAGATTATCAGACAGAGCTGACACTATCTCTATATTCCTTGGGGTGATGAAAAATGACACTGCATCATGTCGCTGCTTCAATACAGCCTGATCTCTCAAAGGCCTCAAAAACCACACTCTGTCAAACATAATTATCTAAATTCAAGCAGAGAAAACTTTTGTAATTCAGTGTGTAATCTATACATGTCCATTTAAATGCTGTAAGTAAAAGCACTTCATTAAAGCATTGATATTTTGCATTATAAAATATTTAACTTGGTAAAAAAAAAATTCTTAAAAACATTTCTTAGTTTCATGGTACAAAAATCAATGAATGTATTTCTATTTCTATGGTTTTGAAGACAGTAAAATATTAAGATATCACAAATATTTCATTGAATCCATTCTGAAAAAGCACTCTCAAAATATGATTTATATCTATGAAACTGAATTTTCTCATATCAATCATTTAAACTTGAATTTTCAGCAAATTATAGGAGTGATCTGTGTTTTTTCTATTTAAATGGATAGTAGCTATGATTATCATTAAAATTATTTTTTGAATGTATACGGCAAGATTTGTACAAAAAGTTAATTAAGTATAAATTAAACCATCACTGTTTACTTTCCATTTACCATTTAGAAGCTTTTTACCTTTTAACACCTGAAAATAATTTTTGTCAACCAGACAAAAATTCGATGTTAACCAACCCTATTCATACGACCTACGTTGACCTGAACTCAGCAGTCCTCATTGCTCAATCGCTCGTTGTCACTCAAATGGGAAAATTTTAAACAGGAATGCGATCTCCGGGAATGAAAGAAAAAAGAACAGAAAAGAGGTGCAGACAAATAATGGTAACTTAAAAATAAATAACGGCAAAGTGATCGGTTATTAGAATCAGTTAAAAAACCTATCAAACAGGCATAGTTACACTGAAGTAGCCAACAATATGATAGTGTGGGAAATATTTACATTTCTAAATTATACCCTATACCATGAAAACAAATCGTGCCATGTTCAAATCGTTATTGTCCAAAATATGTTTATTAATTTACGGGTAGTGATCTCCTGACTTAGAAGAAATAAAAAATCAACTTTTTACAGTTTAATATTATTCTTCCAGTGTATCCTTCATGATGACCCCAATTCAATTCACAAAAACGTGTATATATTATCAGCATTGTCTTTCATACAAATGTAAATACAAGTGTATAATATCATTATTGTTTGAGAACCTTTTTCAAATAATCTACAGGCTTTTGTTATATTTACATAATTTGATAAATGGTGTAAAATACGTAATTTCAATTTAAAGAAATAATCAATTACTTCTGAAAACAAAAAGCACATGTTCATATCTACATGCATCTGAGTCAATTTTTTTTCGTTGTGCCGGCAAGGTTTCGGGAAATTAACCTGATGCATAATTAAAGAGATGAATAGTCACGGAATACGATATTAATTACGAATTAACACTTCTGTAGTTTATGTGGACATTCCAGCGATCTTATTGTGGATTTTAAGTACATATCTTTGATCTTGGAAGCTTTAAACTTGGTTATAATTTTGTTGAAATGATACCTACTATCCCTTTTAAGATATTTCATCTATCAGAATCTTAAAAAAGTATTTTTTGTAAAATGCTGAGGAATTTTTATTGAAAATATATGCTGTCCAGCTGAATTATGGGATATAAACTAAACTAGTGAGAACAAATATTGATTTAATCTCTAATTTTGTTTAACTGACCTCATTTGCCTGCTACCTATCTGTGATCTACACCTGTTTAGTATACCTGTGTAATGAAAACAATTTTATGAGGTGAAAACTATGAAAGGCCCCGAAATAACAAATGTAAAACAGTTCAAATGAGAAAACTAACAGCCTAATGTAAACATTCTATGTGCTCCTTTCCTTCATTTTTATCTTTTTTGTGAAACAGACATTCCAAATTTGCAGGTGAAGCTTTACAAAAAAAAATATAAGTAAGAAATAACTTAAAAAATCCCCAAAACAAAAATAAAAACAAAATACCTGTTATTCAAAAACTGATCTAAATTTGATAACTTCCACAATGTACAACTTAATAATCTATATGTTATCAGATAATACCAAAGAGACTGAGTCCTTCTTTAGCACCAGTTTGTCCTGATTTGTAAACAGATGGGTGTAATTCTTTGTGGAAAATCTGTAAGGCACTGAAAGGGAAAAAAACATTTTAGTATATAACACAAGTGAAACTGTGAGCTACTGCTCACTGATACCTCCGCCCAAATACTTGACGGTAAACAGGAAGTTGTTGAGTGATGAATCTGAAAATGCATCACAGCGTATAGCTGACTTATATAAACCCTGAAACCAAATTCAGAAATCCTTGTATTGTAGTTCCTGAGAAAAATGTGACGGAACATTTTCAACTTGGCTATCATGTGTAAAATGATACAAGTGTTCGGTAAACAGGAAGTTGTTGAGTGATGAATCTAAAAACGCATCACACTGTATAGCTGACTTATATAAACCCTGAAACCAAATTTCAGAAATCATTGTATTGTAGTTCCTGAGAAAAATGTGACGAAAATTTTCAACTTGGCTATCATGTGTAAAATGATACAAGTGTTCGGTAAACAGGAAGTTGTTGAGTGATGAATCTGAAAACGCATCACACGGTACAGCTGACTTATATAAACCCTGAAACCAAATTTCAGAAATCATTGTAATGTAGTTCCTGAGAAAAATGTGACGAAAATTTTCAACTTGGCTATCATGTGTAAAATGATACAAGTGTTCGGTAAACAGGAAGTTGTTGAGTGATGAATCTGAAAACACATCACACGGTACAGCTGACTTATATAAACCCTGAAACCAAATTTCAGAAATCTTTATGATGTTGTTCCTGTGAAAGATGCGATGAAAAATATTCATGGGATGGATGGACGGACTGACAGATGGACTGACAGATGGACGGACGGACAGACAGAGGTAAAACAGAATACCCCCACTTTTTTAAAGCAGGGGTATAATAATAATAAGTAATTCATGTGAAATGTGGAATTTAAACAACATACAGGATATTTTGAAAAACAAATATGACAAACAGTAGCCAATGGAAACCACTTAATTAAAGGCTCCTGTCTTGGGACATGCAAGTAAAAAATGAGGGGGTTAAACATGTTTCTGAGCGCTTAACTCTACCCTAACCTGGTACAGCAGTGTAACAGAACAACATGTCATTTTTGCCATAGTTCACTCTAGATACATGCATCCAATTAATTAATAAGCAATCTAACTTGAAACTGACGTCTAACAGAAAAATTAATGTCCAAATACCTAAAATCAGTCTCTAAAGACTCAGATTAAAGTGTATCACAGATCTTCTATGTGTCTATAATAACTTGTACATTTGAAATATTTTGTTCATCGTGGTTCCTGTACTTAAAATAGTTTTGGGTATAAATTACCTGAACTGACTCGCTGACATGCATTATTCTTTATTACTATTAATTCAACTCCTACATCACTTACCTAAATGCAATGTCATCTAGGAGAAGCTGGTCTTCCCTGAAATCAGAAATAAAGATTTATTTCTATAATTTGTACTTATATTTAAATATATCAACCTAAAAGTGTGGCCGTCTTTATTCAATATATATGAAAGACTACCTACTTATTTTACAGTAGGAAGAAAATGAGAATGGTAATGTGTGGTTTATATGGTATTGGTGGTGTATATTACATAATTTTATACACAATTCAAGGTTGTCTTAAAATACAAATCTCTACAATGAAATCTCTATCAGTTGAACCTTGTTGTGTTGAAAACTTGGATGAGTTGAAGAAATTGCGCAGTCAAGCAAAATTCCTGTTTTATCAATGCATTTTTAACTTCTGATAAGTCAAACTTGGTTGCGCAGTCAAGCAAAATTCCTGTTTTATCAATGCATTTTTAACTTCTGATAAGTCAAACTTGGTTGATTCCAATTATTGGTTAAGTCAAATAAATCTTATAGTCCTGTCGATGGAAAATTAATGTTAATTGACCCCATGTCTCGAAGTTCGAAAGTAAGAAATTTTCGAAAAAATGCAGACTTAAAGATAAAAATTTAAATTGGATGTTTTTCTTATGTGACATAATCATTTTTACAAGTGATTAAAGCTCTGTAAACATAATTGTTTGTATAGCAGTTAAAATGACATGTTTTGGTGACCGGTAATCAACACCTTTGTTGATCGTCAAAGAACTTTAGTGTGATGAACATATTTCACCTGATATAAAAATGAAACAAATTCAAATAATCCAAGCCTAGATTGAGTGAATTTCTTTGAATCAAAATTCATTAATTACAATAATTGAAAGATTAAGACAACTATGACAAATTTCCAATAATTGAATGCAAAGCAGACGGCCCTCATCAGTGATCTTTCAGGATTTGCTTCATTCTACGAGTGATTCCTTAATTTAAAGTGATTGATTGATTGTTGGTTGCTTAATGTCCTTAATTTATAACAACAACAAAAATACTTTATTCTAAGAGGGTTACACAGTTAGTTATATATCTAATCTTCCCTGAGGCCCTCATCATAGAAAAAGCATAAACAAAAATGCAAACATATACATGGCATAAATTAGTATAAAAGTCAAGTATAATGATAATGTTCAATACATGTACAACTGTAAAAATGTTATAAAAAAAAAACATGATGAAATAATATTCAATATTTTTTCAACTGGTTGCTTTCAATAAATGATCTGTTATTTTGTATTTGAAAGGATTAACATTTTTAATATTTCGTAACGATATAGGCAAATTGTTCCACAAGAATGGTCCAGAATACATAAAAGATTTCTTGAACAATTCTATTTTTGGTTTAGGGAGTATGAGGTTTCCTTGAACAGCATTTCTCAAGGGGTATGGATTTCTGTCTGAAACATAATGAAACTTGCTAGTACCATATTTCATGCATTCCAAATTTATTACAATACACTTGAGCTGGGATGAGTCTAACCTCGGATAAGTCGAATACTTTCGTCCTGTCCCTTTGACTTCGACTTAACAAGGTTCTGAAGTCATGTATTGTGAAATAGGATTTTTCTCATGTGCAATCATCCAATTCTTATTTTTGAAATTTTTATATATCAAGTATAATACCCTTAACATTTTCCCCTCTATAACTGGATCAGTCCTAGCTTTTACATAGTATTAATTTCTATGTCTAGTACAAGCACCTTAACATCCTTCAGTTCAATACTTACAAAGTGAAAGTTTTCACATCCAGTATAGGTACTCTAACATCTGTATCCTCAAGTTCTATCCCAACTCTCATCTTCTCAAGGTATTTTAACAAGCCGCCCGTTGCTCTGATCTGTAAAAGTAAAGTGTTCACTACTAATCTGATTACACCTCTGTCAGACAATAAAATCTGAGAAGGAAGGTCCTTTAATATCACATACCGATGTGTTAATTATGTTCTCTTTATCAACAATCCAGAATCTTTTTACCAGCTTGAATAAACAGCCTTGAGAAACTATTATCACACATTGTAATATAAGTAAATTCGATTATCTCCCCATTAACACGCGAGACCATGATTATATTCTTATATGCACATCAGTAGTTTGTATATTAATAACTGCAAAATTGCACAAATCAATGTCTAGCTGCTTATTGTGAAGTTGTGCTTAACTATAAGATAGACTATTTCCACATGTAGCCATTTTGAATTATCTCCCTTTTAACATACACCATGATTATATTCTTTTATGCTCATTCTCAGGTAGTGCTCTACAGTTGTGTTAAATTACATTAATATCTTTCTAGATGCTTAGGAGGAGTTGCTTTTAGAAGGCACATAGACAAGGATAAGGATGATATCTATATACTCTTAAATATCTTTCCTTTTTATTGGGGGGTACAATTTAAGAAATTGTAGTTTAACATACCATACATTGATTATCAAATGGTACCAATGATGAGATATACAAAGTCCTCTCAGATTCTGTATAGTGTTTAGGAAGAGATGGCAAGTCTAGATTTAATATTCTTCTCTTACAAATATCAGCACCTGAAATTTAAAAAAAAAAGTTACAATTTGAAACAATTGTTCAATACTGTTGCTTGCACAACTCATCAAGATTTTTTTACAACATGGTACATGGTCACTGAACACATACATACATGACAAATGCCTTTTTTACATAAAATCTCATATTAAACTACCAGCATTAATGGAAGTAAAAAATTATTAACACACAGAATATATCTCAGTGAATCCATCTTTCAAACATCATGAATCCAAGATGACTGCAATGACGGCTTCCAAAAATAAAAATATGTTTATGTTTTTATCATATGCACTGTATGCATATCTGGTTCACAAAAATAAAACTACATACTGAAATCAATGCTGGGCAAAAACTGCAAAACATCATCAGTCTCATCCTCTGTTTCCATACTAACTATTAAAATAAAATAAATCAAATTAAAAAACATCCCATAAATAAAGAGAAAGAGATTATAGTGTGCATATCTTTTTTTTTTCACTTTTAGGTATGATTCTTTACCGTTATGATTTTAGACTGTCTAACAAAAATCAATTTTCAGTAGCTATGATCTTGATCATAGACCTAATTGACTTGTTGTCTCTTTGACACATTCCCCATTTCCATTCTCAATTTCATTCAAACTCAATCAGGAACTTCCTCTCATTATTTGTGACCACATATCCAAATCAAGTTGCAATCTAATATAAAATATTTGATTTAGCATCCAGAAACCATTTTTCTGCACAAATTACCATTTATTTTTACAAAATATGACTTTGACATTAGAAGCAGCGACCTCAAAATCATTAGGATATTCCTCTCATTATATGTGACCATATACTGTAAATTCAAAAATTATTGCCTGCCTTTATTATTTGAAAAATGGACAAAAATGCGAGATTAATTATTGCGATTTCAGGGAAATCTGCATACAGATATATGTATCAGAATGCCAGTTCTTATTATTGCGATATTATTCGCATTAATAAAAACCTCGCAATAATTTCTGAATTAACAGTATCCAAGTAATGTTTCAATCCAAAATATATTTGATTTAGAATCCAGATATTGCTTTCCTGTACAAATTTCTGTCTATCTTTAGTAAAAATGACTTTGAACATAGATACATCACCTCAATTCAATAGGGATCTTCCATTCATTAGTAAGATTTCAACTGACTAAAAAGTGAAACCAAAATGACTGGCGGACAGGTCAAAACTTTATACCCAGGCTACTTTGTAGCATTGGATATAAGTAGAACTGTTGGTGAACTCAAAAGAGGGATATCGCTAGCCCCGGGATATTATCAGTATATTGAAACAAGAGTGCACACGCTGAAATGTCTCGCCTTCTTTATTGACCATTGATTTTATGTTGATAGCCCTAAATATAAAGTTTTACTACAACTATCACATAAAATTAACATGATTCAAGAAAATGAGGTCAAGGTCAGATTAACCAAACTGGAAATACATGTACACCTTACAATCATTCCATACACTAAATATGCTTTAAATATAGTTGACCTATTGCACATAGTATCTAAGAAACAAACTTAACCAGGAAAACTCAACATTGATCAATGAACCATGAAAACGAGGTCAAGGTCAGATGAACCATGCCAGACAGACATGTACACCTTACAATTATTACATGGTTTAAATATAGTTGACCTATTGCATATAGTATCCAAGAAACAAACTTAACCAGGAAAACTTAAAATTGACCAATGAACCATGAAAATGAGGTCAAGGTCAGATGATAATTGCCAGACAGACAAATACACCTTACAATCATTCTATACACCAAATATAGTTGACCTATTGGTTATAGTATAAGAAAAACAGACCAAAAAACAAAAACTTAACATCAAGCAATGAACCGTAAAAATGAGGTCAAGGTCAAATAAAACATGCCAGACTGACATGTACATCGTAAAATATTTTCATACACCAAATATAGTTGACCTATTGCATACAGTATCAGAAAAACAGACCAAAACACAAACATAAACTTTAACCACGGAACCATGAAAATGAGGTCAAGGTCAGATGACACCTGTACATCTTACAATCATTCCAAACAGATCCATGAAATGAAGTCGAGGTCGAGGTCAAGTAAAAAGGCATGAGGACCTTGCAAGGTACGCACATACCAAATATAGTTATCCTATTACTTATAATAAGAGAGAAATTAAGAATACTAAAAATCTTAACTTTTTTTTCAAGTAGTCACTGAACCATGAAAATGAGGTCAAGGACAATGGATACGTAACATAAGGCATCTATATGCAAAGTATGAAGCATCCAGGTCTTCCACCTTCTAAAATATAAAGCTTTTAAGAAGTTAGTTAACGCAGCCGCCGCTGGATCACTATCCCTATGTCGAGCTTTCTGCGACAAAAGTCGAGGCTCGACAAAAATGTGAAACTCAAAATACATTTTTTTATGTTCAAGGTCAAAAGTTTGTTTTATTTTTGAGGTATTTGAACTTATTTATTATGTATTGTGACTTCCTTTTTCAAACAATAGCGTACTGTTGTACATAATAAATGATTGTAGTTAAATGTAAAGCATAACATTAACAAAACCTCACTTTATATAATATGTTATTGTTACAGCATGGACTGAAATCACAGAAATAAATGTAGTTCATAATTTATATAAGACATATTTTAATTCATCTTAAAATAACAGCTTTGCTATTAATAGTTCAATATTTCTTCAATCATTTATTTTTTCTATTCAAGGAGAAAAAAACCATTATGAATGTGTTTAAATAGTTTTATATATAACCTGAAGACAGATGCATTGAATTTTGAATTGTAAATTTTGCATATGTTGATGTTAACATATGTAAAACACACCAGTTTGACATACATAGAAGGAAGTCTGTATATTGATTTACAACAACCAATTACAGATATAGGGAAATAAACTTTCCTTTGAAGTTTGTTCAATCTATTACAGGAACTTAATTATTATAGCCTGTAGTTGTTAAATCTATTAAAGGAACTTAATTATTGTAGCCTTCAGTCTTTGTGAAACAGAAACTGATAGCCTTAGGTTTCTTTTCCCTTTTAAAGTTGTTAAAAGAATAAGGAAACATAAAAAAAAAGTGTATATTTGATTGATGTCCTTTTAACATCCAAAATACTATGCACTAGAAATATGAAATTTTTAATTATCAGTTTTAAATTTATCTAATCTTAGCATGTCTAAGTGCCCATTTTGGAGGGAGTTCTTTCTTCAAATTTTAACTTTTTTCATTTCGGAAGCACCTATTATTCCTTAATTTTAATGGAAAACATTAACTGTTTCCACACCTTTATAACATACCTATAGGCTTGAGTGTTTTAATCAGTCTGTCATCTTGTTTAGAACTCAGTACAATGATCACAGGATTTATCTGTCGTATCACTATATATATAAATGTTAAACAGATACATTTAGAAACAAATATGTACACTAGAATATAATATGTTATATGACAGAAACAAATATATACACTAGAATATAATATGTTATATAAATGACAGAAACAAATATGTACACTAGAATATAATACGTTATATGAATGACAGAAACAAATATATACATATAGATTCTACCACTGCATCGAGTGTGATACGATATTTATCCACTCGAGACAGTTAAATTTTTAAATTTAAAACGCAAGGCTTGCCGAGCGTTTTAAATATTTAAAATTTAACTGTCGAGAGTGGATAAATATCGTATTACATGAGATTTGGTGGTGGAATCTGTTTCTCTAATGATTTTCAAACCATATGCAGGCAAACTTATTCCTTCTTTTTGAATGATCTGCAGAAAGATGTGTTCTTTCTATGTGACGTCATCAGGCATGGTCGCCTTTTTACATGCCGTCACAATAGGAAATTCAGAGGAAAGCAAGAAAATTCGACGTCATAATCGGATTTTAACCAATGAAGAACTGAGATCAAACAAACCACACGTTGATTAAATTTTTTTTATTCAATGGGTGCAGAAAGAGATAAGTTGACGAAGTATTAGAGAAACTAGAATATAATATGTTATCTAAATGACAGAAACAAATATATACACTAGAATATAATATGTTATATAAATGACGTAACAAATACGTACACTAGAATATATAAATGTGATAGTACTTTTATTCAATGAGATTAATTTTTTTTTAAACTAATGGGAAAATCAGTTTTTTTGAATATTTCTTCTATTTTTTTATTAAATGTATATTTCGTTGGGTAGGTAACTATCAAAATGCATACAATTTTATACAATAAATAAAAAGCCTTCACAAAAGAAGATGGGGCTATTCCAGGAAAGATTATTGGATATGAGAGTTTTTTTTATTATTTATTTGAATGGTAGGGAGGGAGTTTAAATAACTTTTTTAGAAAGCTAATATTAACCTTTAAAAACAATTCATTACAATTTTAACAACACCCTCACCCTATAAAATATTATAAATATTCCTTCTGATATGTTTGAAGAAATAATAAAGACTCTAGCACTGTATCTTTATAGGCCTTTCACATATTTTTTTTAATCCCTGGTCTTTTTATTCTTAACTAATGGGCTTACCATAGTTTTTCTCTAATTTTCCATTATGTGATTTATTTCAATATACATGTACCAGACAAACTGGATATAAGCTGTATATCAACTGACTAGTTTGCAACTGTTCTCGTCTTGTGAAATGTAGTCATAAATTTTATGATAAATTTCATTCAATCTTTTGCAAAATTTCAGGATAATGATTTTGAAAAACTAAAATAATCAAAACATACAATGCTAGACCCTCAAAAAGAACCAGAGATATATAAATATAGATATGTTTATAACAAGGAACATGTAACATGACATACATGTACAATCAAATGGGAGATAACTATTGATCTACTATTAATAAAAGTAATCAAAAACACTCATAGTTATTTCTCCTTTTTGACAAAATTTCAAAAATGCAAGTGACTAAGAATTTTCAAATTTAGTCATTTTCTTGGCAATGATGAAGTACTATATACTTTTATTCAAGGAATTTGCTACTAGTCAAAAAAATGAATTACATATTTTTATATTTTTCATCAGATGATGAATCACGTTATAATTTCATTGACATCTGTCAACAAATCAATTTACCTTGAAATTTCTGATTCATTAGTAATTTACAAACTAATAGATTTTACTACTTCATTTATCCTCTATGTTATATATAAAATCTGATCTAATTGGTCAAGGCACCACCCTGGAATTACCATTTTATCATCAGACTGAGTAATATCAAATTTTTAATTGTAGTAAAAAAGAATTTCATTTTCAAAATTTCAATCAATAAATTACTAAACCAGAAGTAATGAAATCATATTACTAAAATACTGACTTAATATCTTTACATTCTTTCAGTCAGATAATTAGAATGGGGCTATTGTGAAATAAACTCTAGGAAATTGGGTTGGTTGGACTACTCCCCTCTCACACTATGTATAAAAAATTAAAAAAATTTCAGAAGTACTGTGGATTCATTATTATTTGTGGGATACCAATTTCCTTGGATTTTGTGGGTACAGGTGAACCAAAAATTTGAATGTTCAACGAATTACAAATTTTCTATAGGCTTGTATGCAGACTTTGGCATAAATACCAAATCAAGTATCCACGAAAATAAAAGTTTTCCTCGTTTCACAAAAATAAATGAATCCAGTATATAAATTATCAAAATTTTAAATTCTTTTCCCTCTCTATATTGTTTATCTCTGATTCCCTCTTTTTTTCCTTCAAGTCATTTACTGATTTTGCTGCTGCAAATTTTCATCTTTAATTATAAGAAAAGAAGAAAAGAAAGGTTATGAACCACTAGAAAATGGGATTTGGTAATGAAATAATAAAGTCAATATTTCTAAAGATTAAGTAGACATTTTCTGAATATATTCATTGTTTCTAATTTCTAGACACATGTGACAGCCTCAAAATTAACACTATCAAAATACTGCTTGTAGTTTAATATTGCAAGCACAAAATAATTTTTTTCTTATTCAATATCTGTTAATATTTTTTTGCAGTAATTTGCAAAGAAAACTTTGAATAAGCCATATTTTCAGAGGTATACAAGTATGCTGGTCATCCACGACCTGGGCGAAAGGGGAGATTTAAGGGGTAATTAATTAATCTAATATTGGGTAATAAGGAGGTACTACCTCGCTGTAACAGAGAAAAGTCATCATGTTCAGCACTGTCCATCATCATGTGTATTTGTGTTGATTCTATATCATAATAGGCCAGACCAAGTCGTCCACCTTGCCAAAATATACTCATATAAATCTACAAAAATAATTATACATTATTAAAGAGATAACTATGATACCAAAATAAAATAATAAAAATTATCATCAAATCTTTCAAAAATGAAGATCCTCTTCAAGAGGCTAGACCAAAACACATTTTCTGCAAAACATTTGTACAAAAAAAAAGGATTTAAGTATCTTGCCAAACATACTCATCTAAATACAAACAAATGTACATGTACATCAGAGCAGTTCAAACAAAATTTTCTACTTGTATTTAACCTACTTTAAAAGGATTTTAACAAAGCCTTTTCTTTAAAAGCGAAAAAGAATTATCTAGGTCAAGTACATCTTTTCTTTTCTTATTAGGCTTTAAATGAGTATCTATATCTGTTGTTGTAAGATCACAAATTAAGTTTCATTAAAACAGACATGCAATAGATGTTTGTGTGAGAGAAAAAAAATTGATACAAAATCTGCTGCACATTACTGAAAACATCACCACTTGTGACATGTGGGATTATTTAATGAAGTGTATCAATTCTACTGTTAATCAATCTTAAATCTTGGGCAGTAGACAGTAAAACATTAACTTGTAACATATGTAGTTTATTCTATCATTTATATTAACACAAGTTCCTTAGAAAGTATATTATACTTTATATATTATCAATGATGAAATACTGGTTTAGAATAATGAATATGGAACATGGTTTACTGTTTGATACCTATATGTGTAACAAAAACATGTTTACTAATAATATCAAATGCTGGTATTCATCCATACATTATATTTTTAAAAACCTGAATATTTAAGATTTAGATGTAAAACTTAACTTTTTTATGCAAAAACTTTGCAATAGTTTTGTAAAATTTTGGAACAAAAAGAACAGATACAAAAAGAAGTAAATTGGATACTTATGTTCAAACCAAAAGCTTGTTTTTCTAAAGAAATCTATCTTTAAACAATTTTCGATTAAGAAGTGCCATATGTAAAATCAGAATCAGTGCCTATGATCTAAAAATAGACAGAGACAGGTATAAAACTTCATATATAGAAAGAGATCAGAGGCTTTATAAGAAATGTAAGAAATGTACCATTAACATGGTTGAAGATGAACAACATTATATTACTAGTTGTCCAGCATACAATGATGGTAGGGATATATTTTTCAAGGAGATAATTAAAACAATATTTGTCATAACTTTCAGATCTCTCAAATGAGGCAAAATTTAGAATCCACCTAATAGGATATCGGCTAAACAAATATATCTGCTATTGTAATATTTAATATTTCATTTCAACGCAAAAACTTTTTTTTGTTTATACAAATAAAAGTGTATTGTTTTGTGTGTATAAATGTCATGCTGCCCATCAATGGCCCTTAATTAGAACAATAAATATTCTTATTCTTATTCTTTTTTTTCTATATTGCATGGAAAAATTATTCTAAATTAATGTTGTTGTTTTTTAATTGTGGAGGGATGGAGCTGTACCCTTTAACTTTTGTAAAAACGGGTGAAATATTAGAATATGAAGTCTCCTTCTTTAAACATCCTATTTCTTGACTTGGAAACCTTCCTTTTAGATATTTTGAACCTTCCCTTACATGAATGAACTAAAAAATCTACTACCAAATTTTAACCATAAGAAACACATATTAAATATAAACTTTCAAATTCCTCCCTGTTTACAGATGAATACTAACATGTATCTAAAATGAACTTCAGAACATGTGTTAACTATCATTTTATTCAGCAATAAAATCACCTACTGGGACTTACTAGAGCATAGCTCATGCTCCATTTAAACTTAAACCAATAATACTTTTAAAATGTTACAAACTCTTAATTATAGATTAAAAATTTGTAAAAACTTTCAAATAATTTTAACTCAGTAAAAAGGATCAGGTTTTGTTTATCATCCTTCCTATTTATTTTTATTTGTAATTCAATTTCATTTTTTTTTTTATCAGATTTTCAACAAATTTGTTATTTCATAATCTTGGGTCTGGGTTTTTTGTTGTTGCTTTTTCACCTTTGCTATTTAGTGGCAATAATAAAATATTATTTTTTTAAATTAGTTTTTTATAAAGTTACGGTACATGTATGGCTTTTGTTTGTTTACTATTACTTTCATTTGCAATACAAAGTTTTATCAATTTCTTTTTTTGATATATTCAAATATTTAGCCCTGCATCCTAGGAAAGGTAAATAGGTCCAGTTTTGTGATTTTTAATGTTTAATATCCAGGTGTTACTGGATAAAGATAGGTTTATCTTTTAAAAAATCAAGAAACATTATTTCATGGATGTTTCAATATTTTGATTTCAGTTATAGATTCTAAAAATAACAATTTTCTTTAAATTTAAAAAGAAAATTACCCTCCAGTAATAAAGGTGTGATTTTTAGCATTATATCTTATAAAAACTTAATGACTATAACAGATCATAAAAATTTTATGTGAAAATAAATTGTTTTTATTGACGACAATATTTGATTGACACTATCAAAACAGTTATCAACATTACATCAAATTGTTTCACCACAGTGACGTCAAAACTGACAACCTTGTCAATTTCTTGTCTGTTAGATATTTACTATACTATGTATTGACTTAGTGTTTGTACTGTTAATACCCTCTCTATCAAAGTGCAGATTTCCTATTCAATCCACCTAATAATGGCTATATTCAAACATCTCTTAGAACACGAGGATCGTCATCCCTATACTCTTATTTCAAACAATTAATCCTTTTAGTGGGTCTATTTATACATTTAAATGGTTGTTTTTAAATTCAGTAAAGGGTCAGTACACTTGAAAACTTTAACCTGTTATTATGTAGAGCTTTGTAACTTTACAATATTGGTCCAAGATTTGGCAGATGTCAAATGTGTGTGGGTGTTTTGTTCTTTTCTGCATCAATTAAATAATAAGTCGATTACTGTTGCACAAATATTTCTGTACTATACTTGAAATGTATAATCAAGATTTTGTATGCAACTTGTCTAATATCCAGTTTAGGTTTTTGATGTGGTAAATTTTGCGTTACATTAGATTTGACAAACAGACAAGTTTCTTTATATGGTTGATTTTCAGTCTATTTTGACCAAAAAGTTTTTTATTATGTATATTGCACTCAGTAACTTAGCACACTGTCATAACATAAATTTGAGATAGATGGCTCATTTTTCAAAATATTAAGAGATACTTCAAAATCACTGATTAAGTATAGTTGAGAGTAAATTTTCAATTTTTCATGGAGATGCATATCAACTTGTACATTGTCATGTACTCCATGAAACTTTATTTGTCTTGTAGTTTCGATGGAACTTTCATTACAACTTTATGTACAATTATTTTTAAAGTCTGCTTTAGGCAATAAAAGCTGATAAAAAGTTACTATAGAACTTTAAAACATCCTAATATATTGATGGATAAACACTTTCCATACTGTTATCCTTAAATGTATTATATTATAGTACCAGTTACTATCAGAAATTCACAAGAAAGTAAATATTCCTTTTATATTTTAAGGGTTACCTAAAATTTGTGCAAGTAAGATAAATGGTAAATCTCCCCATAAAAATGAATATAGTCATAAATGTATTGCATTGTACAAGCTGTTTTAAGGGAAATAGGTCAAGGTACCATCATTTACAAATATGGTATATATCAGCAAAATGATAGAAATGAATTTGAAACTATAATCACATCTTGCCTGATGTTGTGTAGCTTCTGTAGCAAGAACAGAAGATGTGTTAATTGAAGTAAACAAAAAATGATAATTTGTCAAATGAAGCAAACATATCATGAGGTCAAAGTGTACATTAATTCAGAAGAATTCTGCCATCTTTAATCTGAAATGTTCCAGATTTGATGTCACTTGGTTAACAAGAGGTTTTACTGTTTTGTAGATAAGCAAGTGTGATAGGAATATATTGTTGACTTTTCTTTTTAAATTTTTTTTGCTGGATGTTTGTACTTAAATACACACCTATGTCTAAGGTTAAGGGAAGGATTTGAACACTTGCAAACATGTTTGATCCCACCACATTCTGTATGTTCCTGTCCCAAATCAGGAGCCTGTTATTCAGTAGTTGCTGTTCATTGCTGTCTGTCAAATTTGTTTTTATAGTCTTGTACATAAATCAGGCTGTTGGTTTCTCATTTGAATTATTTTACATTTTGACATGTCATGGCTTTCATAGCATGCAATATGGTATGGGTTTTGCTCATTGTCAAAGGCATGAGTACAGTTGACTTGTATGGTGACCTTCAGTTGCTTACAACTTAGTCATTTGGTCTGTGGTGATCTTATTAGCAATCATACCACATCTTCTTACTTTTATTCATATTGCTATATGCCTGATGAAGACAAAATTGTAAAATTCAAGAACATAAGTCACATCTCCACAGAAGTAACTTTCCCTTGACAAGATCAAATTACAGAAAACTTAGCATCCATTGTCTTAATCAAATAAAACAAAACATTTTACAAATAAAAATTTAATACTTTGTTGTTGCGCAATACTATGCTATTGCGCAATACTGTGCAAATGAAGATTTCTTGCTATTGCGCAATACTGTGCAATTGGAGATTTCTTGCTATTGCGCAATACTGTGCAATTGAAGATTTCTTGCTATTGCCCAATACAGTGCAATTGAAGATTTCTTGCTATTCCGCAATACTGTGATATTGCTCAATACTGTGCTATTGTGCAATACTGCCCTATTGCCCGTTACTGTGCAACTGAAGATTTCTTACTACATGTATTGCCCAATACTGTGCAATTGAAGATTTCTTGCTATTGCCCAATACTGTGCTATTGCGCAATACTGTGCAATTGAAGATTTCTTGCTATTCCGCAATACTGTGATATTGCTCAATACTGTGCTATTGTGCAATACTGCGCTATTGCCCGTTACTATGCAATTGAAGATTTCTTACTACATGTATTGTGCAATATTGTGCAATTGAAGATTTCTTACTATTGCGCAATACTGTGCAATTGAAGATTTCTTGCTATTGCGCAATACTGTGCAATTGAACTTTTCTTGCTATTGCCCAATACTGTGGTATTGAACAATACTGTGCTATTGCGCAATACTGTGCAATTGAAGATTTCTTGCTTTTGCACAATACTGTGCAATCATTTGAAATTTCAAAAATTTTGAATAAAAAAAAATATGAACCCCCCAAAAAAATTGGAAAAAAAAATTCCACCAAACTTTTTGAACCCCCTCCCCCTTGGAGTAATTACCCCCAGCCTTCCCTTTGTGGTATGGAACCTTGTAGTACAATTTTAGAGAGATCCATGCACTAAAACAAAAGTTACTGTCTGGAAACTAGAAAAATGCTTGTTTTTGGACCCTTTTTTGCCCCTAATTCCTGAACCGTTGGGGCAATTACCCTCAAACTCAATCCCAGCTTTCCCTTTGTGATATGGAACCTTGTGGTACAATTTCTGAGAGATCTATACACTAACACATAAGTTATTGTCCGGAAACTACAAAAATGCTTCTTTTTGGCCCCTTATTCCTAAACTGTTGGTACCATAAACCCCAAAATCAATCCCAATCTTCCTTTTATGGTATTGAACCTTCTGGTAAAATTTCTTATAGATCCATTCCTTTAAACTAAAGTTATTGTCCAGAAACCAAATGTGTCTTTGGACGATGCCGACGCAGACGACGACACCATAGCATTATATGTATAAATACTAAGGTCGGTAGATATATTGGAAACACAGGTATATTATTTAGGCCAAAGCAAATTCACTTGCTATATGCACAATAGAATGCATAGGTTTACTCTCTATAAATGCATAAAATGCATAAAATGCTAGGTGATGTTCAGTATCTGTTCATGAATCTAGAAATAATGCATTCAGTGATACTATGAAAAATTTTGCATCATAAAGAATTGGTAAACGAATAGTATTTTAGATATGACGAAATTAACTTTGCATATTTGCATCATACATGGATTTACTCCTTTTCAAATTATTTGAATATGTACTAGTATTCTTCACTTTATGAACTAGCCTTTATAATTCTGATTTAAATAATAAATAGGAAAACTGGTTGGTCAAAGGTTATTGACACATTTACAAGCACAACAGGAGCTTTTATTGTTTGTAGTTTTTCATAACTATAATTATACAAAATCTTCCATACAGAATTTGACCTCAAGGTATAAATATAATACAGCAATGTTTGTGTAGTTATCAAAGTATTATCATCTTGTTTAAACTTTCATAGACCTATAATTATATCTATAAACACAGTAGTGTTTAATTCTGTTTTATGATAAAAATAATAACTTTCCTTTTATATTTTTGTTGTTGAATTTATTAAAATTTTCAAGGGAGAAACAGTGAATAAATTTAATCATACAAACATTTGTAGCTATCACACTAATCATGAAAACAATTAAGTAGCTAAAAACAGTATGAAAGTGTTAATAACTTCCTAGGTATATGAAAATACTCAACCCTTTTTTTATTTTTATTTGTAAGGTTTGGGTCAACATACACAAGTTTTTTATACATACAATACATCTGATTTTAATTCAAAAAGCTATCTTTTTAACAAATTTTCCATTCCGCCTATCTATTTTCTTATTATAGAACAAAAACCAATGCATTTAAGTGGTAGTTGCTCTTCATGACACCTCATAACACTCATTTTGTTTTGCAAAGAAAGAAAGGTATAAGAAGTATTTTTTGTCTCATAGTACTCTTTGCCTTATACCAACGACCTGTAAATAAGTTATGTTACTATTGTAAATAAACAAAGTTCGTGACAACATATGTTTCCTGGCGTTTATCTATCAGTATATACACTACTTCTGTTCAGGAACTTATGGCCAGGATATCGACAGGAAAGGCTTAAAACTTGATCAACAAATAGTTTATTTTAATTTTCAAATTGGTTTTGTTTCTCAAGGATCTTCAGTATTCAAAGTACACATTTTTTTTAAAAGTAAAAATGCCTTCTGTATATCTTCATTTTAGTTTTCTTTTGGAAACATTTTTTTTTCTAAGAATTTTGCAAGGAAAAATTGATATTAAAGTATGTTTGAAACAAATATACAGGCTTTCGCATCTTAAATATCTTAAATGCTGTGTAATTCACGTGTAAAACTACTTAAAAAAGAGTTTCTGTTTTGTCATTAACAAGTCCTTTCTAACGCCATTTATAGTCTGTCTACCTATTACCTCCCTTATGCAGATGACAGATGAATAAGGATACTAAGTAAAGTAGTTGAATGATTAACTCAGACAAGTCATAATCACTTGTCTCAATTTTTTTCAAAACCTATCAAGAAATTTTACTAATTGAATGTTGAATTATTTCAATGACTTGCATAATTTGTCCTAAAATTAATTTATGTTTTGAAAAACAAATATCATATTGACATGTACACAACTGTCTTTGACTAAAATCTAATCCTGACAACATCTATCGATATTAACACTTTCTGCCTACCACAACCCAACCAACACCCTTAGGATAATATAAGATCACTGCCTCTCTAGTCCTGTCCTTAACTTCATATTACCCTACCTGATCATTTATTGTAGAACTTTCCCCTCTCTGTCGTACAGGATTAATATGATTTTCATGTAAACTTTCATCTTCATCATCTGCCCCAATGATACTACCATCACTAGTATAAAATGATGCTGCCCCTGAGGATGTAACAGTTCTATTTGGTATGCCTTGTCCTGATGATAAAATTCTATTGGTGGACATCTCACTACTGCTACAAAAAATGTTTTTATGAGAATTAAAGTAAAATAAAGTTGAGAACTCCCCTACACAGACTCCAACAGGTTGTGAAAGATCCTCATAAATAGGTATTATCCCCATCTATGGAAATTATACCCAAAATCAGGTATCATACTTTTTTTGTGGGGCCTTCGTATACTTTCATAGATACATTCTTACACAAAAAATTTATGTCACCTTTTTTTAAAGATAAAATGTAGGTCAGAGTGAATTCCTTTTTGAAAGAAGTCGGTATACTCCCCTAGATGTATCTATATATATATATATCAAGTTGTATGATTGTAGGTCTCTGAGTACCAGAGATCTGAACCCAAATGAAAAACATAATCAATTTTTAAAACATAGGTCAAATTGACCTAAATTTTTTAGATGCTGCTATACTTTCATAGATGCATCCTTTATCCAAGTCATATGATTGGTGGACACTCAGTAATTAATGTAAGACTTATATAGGTAATGAAAGTTTAAAACTTTAAGCCACTAAATTATAAAACATGTGGTCTTCATTTAATGGTGCAGTCAGTCTCTCAAGTATGCATCCACAATAAATCTTCACATTTTAACAGTGTATAAACTTTCAAGTCAATAAAGCAATAACTATGAGGACATAGATAATGATGCAACATCACAGCAACTATTAATAAACTTTACATTTTACTCAGTTAAACTTAATTGTCACTATTAAAGCATGCAACATTACGGCATATGTCAATGGTCTAGTACCATTTCAACAATGTAAAACTGAAGCATGCAGCATACCAAATATCAATGGCACATTGAAGTTCTTCTCTGTAAAACAACTTATCTGAAAACTTAATTCATGTTATAAATTCAAATCATATTAATTATTAGACCTTCATTTTTTGTAGTACTTTTGTTGTAGTTTTCAGACAACTGTGACTTTGCCATTTCTTACAATTCAATCCATTATGACAAATATAGCTTTCAACACAATAAATACCCTGTTCATTACTTTAAATAGATACTTTAACTTTGATGAACCAATTCCAAAAAGGCAGAAAATTAGAAGCACCAATCTAACAAAGTGTGTCTTATAAATAAAGATGGTATGATTTACACAAGTGGAATTACTTTGTCACCACTGAGAAACAAAACAAATCCAAATAAAAAGAAAATCTTCAGATAAAATTGTAGTTTTTCAAACTCTAAAAATCACAATATATATATATATATATATATGAAAATTCTATTACAAACAAAATATTTTAATTGAAAAAATTTGCTCCTTTGAAATGTGTGGACATACAGTGCATGGACACAAGTATTCGTCACTTTTCACTATATATTTCTTATAGAACTATGTTTTTCAAAAAAAATTTGAGGGGTCATTTATGATCAGAATTTAGTCAACTTGGTACCAATAGCAGAAATGTCACAGGCATAATTCTTTATTTTGTTATATTTTTGTTGTTGAGTTCTTTCATTTTCTGATGCACGTAATATAAATACAAAGAATTATTTTTCGTTCAATTCATAAGATTTTCTATACATTTCAACCAAATGAAATTGTAAAAAATCATCATACATGTTCATACCAAGAGAAAATAAAAACAATTGAGAAAAAAACTGTGACCAAATGAACAAATATATTTCAGACAATTCTGTGTCTTTAAACACGTTTGTAAAAATCCAACAAATATCCTTCAAATATTTTGATTGGAAAAATATGTTTTTATATGATATATATATAGCAAAACAGAAACGTGACGAATACTTTAAGGCCATGCACTGTACATCTATATATATATATATATATCTATACATATCTATATCTATATATATATAGTTTTTTTTTAAATTACTTGGACATTAAAATTTCATTTGTATCAAAAATAACTCTCTGTTATTGTTTATTATCTTATCATCAATACTATGATTAACAGTCTATTTCGTAATTGGGGACAACTGCTATTTTATATTATCCTTAAATAAACCAATCATGTGATCCAAAATTTACAGACAATAGTAAGGTCATGTGATGGCCTGATGCCAATACACAAATCTGGAAAATCTCAAAATCAAAAAATTTCAAACCACCTCTCTATTCTTTAACAACAATTTAAAAATATGATAACTCCAACTTCAGTCAGCAACCTTTATATTATCTTTTTCTAAAATCTAAATTGACATATTTCATCAAATGTTTAACATCATCTCCATTTCTTTTAATTCAGAATTATCCCCCCCCCCCCCCCCTTTTAAAGAAAAGTCTTGAGAAGTTTAGAAATCTTGATTTGAAGACCTAGCAGAATACAGACATTTTCACATAAGCAGCAATAATTTTACTGTGAATGCCTTAGTTGTATTACTATATATATTTATTTGACAAACAATCTATATGTTAGTGTTTGAGATGTTTTCAATGCCTTTTTACTATGGTAATTTTACAATGCAGTTGAATATAAAAACTCTGAAGAGTTCAATTTTTTTTTTTTGGAATGAGCCTAAATGTAAATGTTCTTTGTGCAGAAAAATTAAATACAAAAAAATGTGTCTTCAATTTTTGTTCTAATGAAAACAATTTTGCAAGGTAAATGTGTCAAATATACCAATATTTAAGGTTTTTACACAAAAGTGACATATTTAATTAAACAATTACTATCATGACTTGTTTTCTTTTTAAATAAATTACAGTATACTTTAGAACCATTAAAATCTATTTAAAGAAGAAAAGCTAGACGAAAAACAAAAATACATAAAAGATGTGATATTGCATTTTCTATTTTGATATGTTCCCCCACAGGTAAGTCATGGAAAAACAATAAACAAACACCTACTAACCTACTGTTGTGGTGAATCATCAGATAAATATAGAAGATCCACTCACAGTGGGAAATTCCCATGCAATGCCAACACACAAAGTTCATTTGGAGGATTGTCAACAAACATGTTCAGACATCAACAGAGAAAAGGGGGGATGTATTTCATTAAAAATTTAAATTTTCAAAAGTTTTATATATGTTTTGGATTCTTAACTTCTTATAGGCAATAACAACTTTTATTCCATTCTATTCTATTGGATTTGGGTACAATTTTTGACATTAAAAAAAGATTGATATATTTAAAAGGCTATTCAAAAGAAATAAAAATGTAATTCGAAAATTTTAATTATCAAAATTATCTAGACACAACAGGCTAAATTTCAGAAAAAAACTTTCAATATGTAGTCCTTGGCTTAGTGGCTAGTGGGACATAAAAGGCAATATGGGGTAAATGTCAATGAGACAACCACCTAAAGACACAAACAGCAAAAAGTCATCTACAGGTCAACATACATCCTTTAAAAATAAAAAGTTTAAAATTAAATATGCTTGCCCCAGAAAGTTAAATTAATTACTCCATGACCAAATAATAGGGAGTAAGCAAGGGGCTGTCATAAGTTCAGTAAACCAGGTTTTTCATACAAATTTTAAATCAATTTAGAAACCAGATTTTTCTGTCTGAAACCTGGTTATACAAAATTTAGTAGGATCCAGCCATTTTTAAAAGGGGGGTTCCAAATATATGTCCCCATTCAAAAAAAAAAGAGGTGTTCCTACCCCTGGAATACCACCCCCTGGATCCGCCACTGGCATTCAGTGTTGTGTTATAACAGGTTGGGGATGATTTAGTATTTCAATGTATTGGCTGTCGTGGTGCCATACAATAGAAGTTCCTTTATAATATAAATTCCAAATGGAAGAAATATAATGGAACAGAAAAAAAGAGTATAAAATATTTGTTCCAATAGGAACAGATATTACAGCATTGTTTATAACAAAGTTTTCAAAGGAACTTCTGTTAGGAGGAACAAATTTATAAACTGTCCTTATGGATCTACATTAATGGTTAATCCAAAATTTTTGCTTATTCCTCTCCAAACTTTTCTAATTAAGGGGCCTACAGGCCCTGTAACCCCCCCCTCCTTCAAAATTCTGTATCCGCATCTATATTTTTCAGATGTTCCACTTCAAACATTGCCTAGTGTGGGAGCCCACAGACCCCCTATTCAAAATCCTGGATGCACATGTATTGTGAAAATTATGAGGAGGCTAAAGAGAAACTCCGCTCTGCACTCTACTTCATAACATCAAAACTAACACTTGAATCAGAAGTATTATTAGCAACAACAGAAAAAGAAAATTACAAACATCACATAGAAGATATTCAACATTTGTTAGGGGTCTTTATTAAAGATACTGGAAGGTTCACAAAATAGATAGTTAAGGTTTTATAAGGGTTAATTATTTATTCACTTTTTTTTTTTTTTAATTAATTATTTAATTATTTATTTATTTATTTATTTTTCTCTGCAGTGCCACATCATAAATACAAATGTACTAATGAGTTTTATACAATAGTGACATAAAATTACCAGAGTGATCGAAAGTACAGAGAGATTATAGTGTCAAGTTGACACTTCTAAAGACTAAAGATTAGTCCCAGATGATGGTCATTCATGCAAAAGGCATCATTTTCTCTAAAAGACCATAATTTATATGGAATGAAAGTTAATGAGGCATGGTCTACAGAAATTATATTAATATAAAGCCATATTGACTTAAAATTTTATCCAAGGAACAGTTCAGCTATGGTGTCTTGGTGGAAAATATTTCCTAATTTCAAATTTAAATCACTAGATATCAGATTTTTTTGTATACAAATGTAATACCCATTAAGATGAGGATCATCCCCAATATTTGTGAAAATCATCTGAATCATGGGATAATTCATTTTCACCTGTTGCTAGTACAGGTTTTTATATTGATATGTCTCTGAAAAACGGACTTGCTGTTAAATCTTTCGGTTCAAATGAAAAGACTTATTTACATCATTTACTGTTAGTGTTATATAGATATTCACTGTGACCAAGGATTTGTATAGTCACAGTCGCTACACAAATTATTGCTGTGAGTGAGTGTGACCCGAAGTCGAAGACGAGTCCCTGTCTCAGTGTCTGTGTGTGGCAACCTTCTCTAAATTGAAACTTTAACTGCTCGCCATGATCAGGCGTAGTTTAAAGATCATCTGTTTGATGCGAACTTGGTCTATATCGACTTTCGTTAGCCTTATTATTAGTCTCAAAAGTTCCACGTGTAAATACTGATGATTCATAATTGGAAATCCCCTTCTGAGAGCATGGTTTGGCGCCGAAAGTTTCAGAAACATGTGTTTGTTAACCAATTTTCTATAAATTATTTTCGGTTAGATTTTAAATAATCTTACTTAACCTTCTTGTATTTAGTTTCTAAAGAAACAATTACTCGCAATGTTTAAAGCAGTTCTTACTAAAGTCGAAAATTTTAATGTTTTCCATATATGGGTTGTAAATATCCTGACGTCACAGTCAATATTGCCTTTTACAGAAAGTGCCCTTTTCCAGAGTTCAAATCAAGTCACACCCGAGAGAATTGTCCAATCAAAATCAACATATTTTCTCGAAACAACGATCACATTTTTAGGTTTAACCGATACATTATAGTAAAGATATCAGAGAAGTCCGAAGGAACAATTACAACATTGCCGATGATCGCATTGAGATCCAATGAAATTTATCCAAAGTGATGTCATGCTATATTTAGATAACTGACTCATTTCATATAAAAAGGAGTGAAATACGTTCAACAAAGCATACGTCTAGAAAACTTACTACAGGACAAGCCTCACACGAAAAGGAATATAGAGAGGTGACTCATATATTTCCACCATTTTTACATCGACCTTCATAAGGATTAGTCATCACAAGTTTATCAACTGAAGTTGAAAAAGTTTTTGGACTGATATTATTACAAACTTTTGTTAGACAATGGAAGTTTTGTCCGAGCGGACATTTTATCCAGAAGGCATCATGAACAAAGCCGGAGACGCAAACGTGAATAGTTTGAAAAGAAAAATGACATTAGACTTTAATTCTTCAGGAAAAACTAAACAGCAGAAGATACAAAACCTGCTTGCTTCTCCTGATTTGAACATGCTGAAGTTGGCCTCTCCAGAGTTGGAAAAGTTCATCATTCAAGCAAATGGATTTGTCACAACAACGCCGACACCAACACAGTTCATATTTCCAAAATTCGTGACAGACGAACAGGAATCATTTGCTAAAGGATTCGTCGAGGCATTAAACAATCTTCATGGGAAAACAGGACAATGTTTAAAGGCTGAATCCTCTTCGGATTGTGAAAGCCAAAGTGACTCTGTGTCTAATGCCAGTTACACGTATGTACCTCCAGACTATGTTCTTACCTCAGCTACTACAACCCTCCCTGGTGGTTTATTTACAACTAACACATCTTCTGCAGCAAATCATTCAATAAAATCTCTGCCTGCCCAAAGAGTTAGTTTGTTACGACAGGATGAAGAACCCCAGACCGTTCCTTCAATAGCAACTAGTACAACTGACAGTTTTTCAGTGTCGCCAATAAACATGGAAAATCAAGAAGTTATCAAACTTGAAAGGAAACGTGCCAGAAACCGTGTGGCTGCAAGAAAGTGTAGAACGCGTAAACTTGAAAGAATCTCCCGACTTGAAGATCGAGTAGATGACTTGAAAGGACAAAACTGTGATTTAACAGCACAGGCAAATTCTCTCAGGGACCAAGTTTGTAAACTAAAGAAAAAAATCATTGACCATGTGAACAGTGGCTGTCAAATCATGATTTCAAGCACAAATATTTTCTCTTAACATTTGAAAGAAATGATCTGTGCCTTGACAATGTGTTCATATGGATGTTATTATATAAAAGTGCCAATCACGTATTGTTTTTGCATGTTTTGATGATAATTTTGTTGCTGACATTCCGCAATTTAAACATTTTGTCTCCTGCATCAAAATTTCTATCTTGCATGTTTAAATGTGATAATTTCATTTAGTCATTATTTCTGAGGTTATCATGCAAATGTCATAATTTTATATATATATATTATTTTCTACAAAACATCTCTGGTCCTTGTAAGCACCAGTGGATGCTGTTATTTATATTTTGAAAAAAAAGAAAAAACCATGAATAAAAAGTTTAAAATTTAATTTTCTTGTATGTAAATTAGAGTTATTCCCCTTACATTGTAAAAAATAATACAAGTACAAAGAGATATGTTAGTGAGACTATAATCAAAGAAAGATATCTATAGACCTACTTATACATGTGTTGTCGTCCTGTTAAAAAAAGTATGGATCTCTCAAAGTTGCTTTGGCTTTGATTTATCAGTGTTCCTGACAATTTGTTATTTGTCTTTTGAGTGGTATGTACATGTATTGTATGAAGAAACATAACAATAAGAATCTGTATCCATGGTCATGTTTGTCTTGAATATGCTTCTAATATTTGCTACTGGTTTATGGGACCACTAAAAACTGAATAACTTAATTTGAACAAATGTGGATTCAAGGTGTACATGAACTGTCATGAAATAAAAAGATGTGATATAATTGCCAATGAGACAACTCTCCACCAGAGACCAAATGACATAGAAGTTCCTTCACATTATTAGTTCTAAATAGAATATTCCATTTCCACTGGAATAAATATTTAAGTATTTGTTTCAACAGGAACAGATATTATTCACATTGTTTCCAGGACTGAGGTGACCTGATGTTAAGCAGAAAAAATATACATTTGTACCTTGACAGTACAAGGTTTGGAAAACTAAAATAGATGCTGAGCAGTGATTTTGAATGCTATCAAATGATCAAACAGAACAGCTCTAAATAAAGTAAAATCAACACATCAGCAAAAATGAGTTGAAAGTTTTATTGCTTTTTCCTGTTAAAAAAGACAAATGAACTGAAATCTTGGACTATTGGTATTGGTGAAAAAAAACCTCATTAAATATACCAAACTTGTTATTTAGAATACAAGATAAGATTTTTGTTACATGTACATAAGTCCAAACTATGATGCTCTAATCAAAACAACACAGTGGATATTATTTTCAAGTAATGTTGTCTTTTTGAAGGAACCTGTCCTAAATCAATAAGATGAAACTGTCCCACAGTTTTTACAAGTTCAACAGATGGTGCTCAAGTTCAAGAATTAAAAATATATGCAGACGTGAATTGGATTATGTTTTATTTTCAAAATTGGCACTTAACATCAAATTCATGTAGAAAGAACTTTTTTTGAAAGGGAATTAAACTCAATGTGTACTGTACAGATCCCTTTCACCTCTAAATTCCATTTTAAAAAAATAACATGCACCACTGAAAAATTATTTCAAATTTGCTCTTTTTAGAATTACCAATTTACCTCGCTGATTTAATGAAGTAACATTATAAACCCTACTCAATCAAAACCTGTCCACTTGAATCCCTGATGAAAATGAGCTTTTTACCACCCCAGAAAGACCTGCATTTGCTAGACACATAATATGGAGTACATTCTACTGACATTCACACCACATGCATTTTAGTGCATTGTTGTTTGGATATGTGAGCTATCACTTGGTGTACATTAACTTTTTATGCCCCCATCGTAGTGGTGGGGGCATAAAGTTTTACCCTTGTCCTTCTGTACGTACGTACGTCCCAAAATTGGTTTCGTTCTCTAACTTAGTTTGCCTCAACCAAATGTTATGAAACTTGTACAGAATGCTTATTACCACAAAACACAGATCAAGTTTGAATTTTGGTGGCGTCACTTTAATCGTTCTAGAGTTATGCCCCTTTATAAATGGAAAAATTGCAAAATTTTTAGTTTCCGTTCTCTAACTTAAGTTTGCCTCAACCAAATGTTTTGAAGCTTATAGACAATGCTTATTACCACAAAACACAGATCAAGTTTGAATTTTGGTGGCGTCACTTTAATCGTTCTAGAGTTATGCCCCTTCATAAATGGAAAAATTGCAAAATTTTTAGTTTCTGTTCTCTAACTTAAGTTTGCCTCAACCAAATGTTATGAAACTTATACACAATGCTTATTACCACAAAACACAGATCAAGTTTGAATTTTGGTGGCGTCATTTTTACCGTTTAAGAGTTATGCCCCTTTACAAATGGAAAAATTGCTGAATTTTTCGTTTCAGTTCTCTGACTTAAGTTTGCCTCAACCAAATGTTATGAAACTTATATATATAATGCTTATTACCACAAAACTCAGATCAAGTACACATTTGGGTAGCGTTACTTTTACCCTTCTTGAGTTATGTCCCTTTATAATGATATATGCAAGCGGACACATTCCCCATTTATTTTTTTACATACTTTTAGATAGTGCCAAATAGGTGATTTGCCCACAGGCACTGGTCTCTGAAATAAAATTACCTATATACTTTAATATATTACAATACAGCCTATTGCACCTTGCATTGTATGCTAAAATCAATATAAAAGAATACAAAGAGAAAATAACTTACTAACAAATGGAATTCTATTAAATTCTATGATTTACGAATAAATTTAATAGAAAAAAACTGAAATCCGCCTACAATATGAAATGACATGCATGTGTCTTTCACAATCATTTCCTTGAGAAAAGAAACTATCGTCAACACTTTCACGGGACCAACATTACAAAAATATCCCACCAAGGCTACCAAATCACTCGGTTTTCTTAAATAATATCTCGACAAATTTCATGAAGATGTCAAACGACATGCATATCGTGCACCTGTTTCACCTCACATAAGTTTAGCCCATTTGATTTGAGATCTGTACTCTTAAAAACATTCACAATATATACTTTGATGGTTCAACACATATCCGATGATTTATAGTCAATAAACACCCCCCGGAGACCCAGACGCAACGACATCATTCCCTTAAAAATGTATTAATCTTATCTTCCATCTCTCCAATCTAGAGAGAAAATAGCATAAGAGAGAGGCGAAAAAAATCAAAGGGACATTCAACTGAACTCACAAGTCGAAAATAAACTGACAACGCCATGGCTAAAAAAGAAAAAGACAAACATACAAACAACAGTACACAATACAAAGCATAGAAAACTAAAGACTGAGCAACACGAATCCCACCAAAATCATCTGTGAAACTGACATTCTATAACGGTCAACCAACTCGTGATAACGTCCGTAAAATTTACGCAGGGATGATTTCAACTTCACCACTTGGAACTCTTGGTTTAATAGTTTCTTTGTGAGCAGCAACCCTCTATTATGGGAATTCTTGATAGGAAATACAAGCCCTAGAATATCGTATCAACTGGGGGATATATACTCCGTATGCAGGCGCTGCTGGAATGTTGCTACATAGAAATGGAAAGATCACAATTGGGAAGCTGAAATCATCTCCATCTAAAGTTTTGTTTTCAACCGACTCTCATTGTCAATTTCTAGTTGTAAGTCAAGATATGAGACAGACTTAACTGTATCTGTTGTTTCCTTATCTCAATTTCGATGGGATAGATGCGTCCACATAGTCATCAAATTTTGAATTATCTAGTGAGAGAACATCATCTAAATAGCGGAAAGTAAAGTTAAAGATTACTGCTAACTTCTTTTCTTTCTTCCTAAGAAATTCCTGAATGAAGTCAGCCTCATATCAATAATGGACAATAAAGTCGGCAAGAAGAGGAGCACAGTTGGTTCCCATGGGAATACCGATTGTTTGTTGAAAAACACGTCTCCAAACATTTCAAATATGTTGTCAATCAAGAAATCAAGCATCTTGATAATGTCGGTTTCAGAGAACTTTTTGTTTGAATCAGAGTGATTTTTTACAAAGTACGATTTATCCCTCCCTAAGACAAGATACTTGTATCTACGTTAGCCATTCTTCAGTTTATAAAACAAAGCAGGACCAACTCTTTCAATTTGTCTTTTAGTTTGGAATGGAGAATACTTGTGTAAAGTGTAGAAAAGTCAAATGTTTTAATACTATTGCAAGATGAAAGAGTCTTAGATTGTATGTACTCTAAAAGATCTTTGGAATTTTTTAGTATCCACATCTGATTCACGCCACCTTTAGAATAGGAAGTGCCACAATAACTTTTAAGCCAGGCTTTGAGTGCTGATAAAATTGATGTTAGTAATTTAGAAAGAGGTTTCGCGGAGCACTTGGAAGACCAAGCAATATAACTTGTTTGTAAGGACACTTGTGTAGTTTAGGAATCCAATACAGTTGTTGAAGATCCAGTTCTTCACCTTCGGTTGAAATTCTAAAAGAACAAAGAACAGACCTATGGTTATCCAGGATTTCCTCCTTGGTAAGTGTCGTGGGGTATATGTTGGGGCTATATGTTGAGTTACGTTATTCGGCGGTGGTGGTGGTGGGGGAGGAGGAGGCCACGATGAGCCGCCGACCTGGAGAACTAGCACAGGTGCAATCAGGAAGTTTACACTTGAAGTCGTCAATATTGAGATCCTGCAACACGTGTTTGTAATTGAAAATTTTGGTTGCAATTGGTTTGGTATAGGTAAAAGAAAATGATATGTACAGACTGATCTTTTAAATAGGGAGATATTTTCGAGTGAACTGATTTATGATGAAGGATATTGCCTAAGTTGATGGCATCGAGACCTTTGTTGTCAAAGGAAAGTTTCAGAAAAGATCTTTTCTCCTTTTAATCTTTTCCAATGCGAACTGGTTTGATAAGTCTGTGACTTGTAATATCCGAGATGATAGCTGCGAGTTTGTATTGGTTTGAGTGTGGGTTTGTAACAGTGGTTTCCAAACAGAAGTTGTACAGAGAATGAAGATTTGAAAGGGGTAATGAATATAGATTCGTGCGAATGTGGTGAATACCTAACGGCTTTTATATAAATGACAGCAGGTCATTAATAGGGACATCATGGAGAGTAGGTGATGTATAATGACGATGACCACGACTGCGTCTACGTCGAGGATTATAGTTTTTAGGTGTGGTAGTCACCGATTGCCAGTTGAGACAGGAAGATGGCATGGCCTTTCAAGAGACGATAGAGTATATGCCACCTTTGTGACTCAACTGACATTGGTGACGAAAACCACTACATCATGACTTGCGAAACACTAAAAGCAGATAGAACAAAATTCTCATCTAATTATTTTTGGAAAAATCTAAATACATACAAATTTAATGTTTTATTCAATTCTACAAATACTGAAAATTTGAAAAACTGTGTAAATTTATTAAAATTATTAATGTGAAAGTATGTCCTCCCAGTTAAAATATGTAACTTACATGTAGTATTTCACACATGCATGTAGTTAGTCTATTTATGTATTTATATGTACCATTCTCTGTAACTTTGTATTTAGTTTATGAGAATAAAAAAAAAGATGCAGAGTTGAAAATGTTCATCACATTAACCGAGCTACAGGAAGGACTAGATAGAATACCTATACCATAATCCTTGAATAATACATCTCAGTCTACAAGACAAGACAAACCAGACATGGCAAAGATGTTCCATTCAACTCGTCTCAACTGGCAAACAAAACTAGAAAGGCCGAACAATCAAAGTTTGGAATGTTTTACCACCAATCATTCTCGACCTTGAGTTTAAATCAGCCTTTGACTCGTTTCCCACATGATTTAAAAGGATCTTGACGAAAAGTTTTTATACGCACCTGAATGTAAATTATTATAAAAGAGAGGCGGAAGATACCAATGGGAATTTCAAACTCACAAGTCGAAAACGAACTGACAATGCCAATGCTTATACACATCACCCATCTCTTATTTTCTTTGCATGGATACTGGGACTATTATACTAATATACCCAGATGGATATAAAGATATTCTCATTTAAATATTTTTTTGGGGTCACTTTTCCTGTCTGAAAGAAAGTAAATTGGGGGGAGTCTTTGGGTCTTCCAGGACTGTATCCCCAAATATGAGGGTCGTAATGGGCGCCGGTATCTTCATGGCGAATAACGGTAAAAAAATCTTGCCAAATGACGTTAACGGTATTTTTTGGTGAATGACGATAAAACGTACATTTCACTGAGTCGTAATGACCGTAGAAAAAAAAATTAACTGATTTTTACGAATCACGTTAATAAGTTTTTTCCCAAAAATAACTATACGGATAATCATTTGAGACCTCTGACGAATCACGATAAGGATATTTTGACGACTGATCACGATAACATTTTAGCCAATTTGACACTAACGGTAGCAGAATGACCGTTTGACGCCTGACGGTAACTTGAGGGCATTCCTACCCCAAATACATATGGTCCGCCCTTCAAGTTACTAGTTAAAATTTCTTCTAAGCAGCCCTCTTAAAAACCAAATGATTATTTGCTCCTTGGACCAAGGATTTGTATACAAATCCTTGCTCAGTCATTTTAATTTTTCTCCTTAACCGTTAGAAGTTGGCGGGAAACAATATTATCTCCCTTTAAAAAACAAGGGAGGCAATTAGAGCACCCCCTGACAACATTATACACATGATATGAAAGAATGAACATTTATATATGAAATCTTGAAACTAACCGTATAATTAAGGTCCCAGACGAAATTCGACATTTGTGAGTCTCCTTAAATTCAATGCCAATTATTCGTCTGTATGTTATTCAAGTCCAAATTCATTAAATGGGTTTGTTCACCCTCGGAGTGCTCGCATAGTTGTATAATAATTAATGACATCTTGAAAGTTGAAGGGCTATTTTTAATTTTTTGCTAGTTACCTTCCTTCATAGAACGTCATAATTATTTAGACTTGTGTTTGTTTCCCCTTGTGACGGTAGTCAACACTTTCCTGTTACACCCCTATTAAAGAAATATTAATGGTAGTTGGGTTAATATACACCTATGCAGAATATTTATATTTGATTAATCTCAATTACCCACTGGACGTTAAGCAACCAACAATCAATCAATCAATATACTCAATTACATATATCTCAAAATTCATGAACAAAACATGAAAATAATTTTAAATTAATTGCTTTTTAATTGTTTTTTAGCAATGATTGGCTTCATTGTTACATTTGTTTTTACAGAGACATATAATACAAATGTCTCTGGTTTTTAGTAAGAATTAATTTTAATGACTTGGTTGTAAGTTGGAATCCTGATTAATTAAGATATCCTTTATCTCACTGATTGTTGTATTAATTGTCTATGGTGGTTTTATCATGAAATAAAAATTAAAAATTAAACTAGTCCACTTGGAATATTAAGTAATAAACAATGCATGTATGGATTGGTCTTAAGTCGTTTTTATACGTTGTATTCCTGAAGACTACAGTGCTAATCAAAGGAAAAAATTATCTGGTAGGAGCAATACAACTTAAATATATTACATTTTTGTGTATTTTAATCCCATTTTAACTTTGAAAGACTGTTTTGATGTATTTTGTTCATACATTGGAGGATTTCAAGAGTCGGGTTAACACCTTTGAGACTCGAGTGGAAAATCCTCCATAAATCAGGATAATTGGCAGGTCTTCAAAAGATTCATAGACATTTTGTGAATCCTAGTTTGTAGCTACAGGGATCCATAATTTTGAATAAGCTGGCACTAACATGACTTAGTTTCAGAATTACATTGTAGTTGCAAACATTTTTGCATTTCACACAATTTAAAAAAATACGCCTTCAAGTAGAAACATGCTGGCTTAAATATACAAAAGAAGACACAGCTGTCTGAAACATGAATTTAAAAAAAGACACCTTTTGAAATGCCCATAGTAATTTGTTGCAGAATTTGAATTCAGAAAATTTGTTAAGCATTTACATACCAGTTTAAGGATGAATATAAAAATTCTCAGATTTTATTAGATTTTTAAACAAATAACATTTATTAAAGAACTTTGTTATTTCAGAAAAATGGGGGTCTCTATGTCAGGACCAAGTGGTTGTACCATTAAAAATGGAAATGGTGTGTTAAAATGTGTACCTTTTACCAAATATAAACCATTTCCATCTTGTAAGAAAAAAAGTGCAGGTGAACTAATTATAGCATTCAAAGCACTACCAACTGCAACTCATACAGGTAAGTTTGATATTCTTAACGACTAAACATTGGATACTTTACAAAAAGAATTCTTTGACCAAAAGTTTTGGTTTACAAAGTCATATGGTACTGTTGAGACTTGTATTCAATCAACCAGATGATATAGAATGATAGATCTCTGCTTAATGTCCAGTGGCAAATATTACATGCATATTCAGGAAGATAACTTGTTAATGAGATACAAATATATTTACTGCTTTGTACAACACTTAACATGCTGAGTCAAATTTAATGTGCTAGCTCACAAGGTAACAGTTCACAAGGAGACATGTCACCCTCCCTGACATATAATTTTGACCATGAGCCAACCAGTCTGCCTACCCCTATTAAAATGCCTCATGATTTAGAAGCAGCATATACCAGTTTTGAAGTCTTTGGTTTGACCCAGCCAGGGATACAGCTCACGACTCTTCCTTTCAAAGTGGTTTAGAAAATTAAGAATTTGCGATAACATGTCATTCAGTAACCATGGTAACCACAAGTTTTTTTTAGTCCTGCTGAAATGAGCTTGCTGGTGAACCAATTATCAAGTGGAAAATTAGAGCATTTTAAAATTATGTCATCTATTTTTGCATTTTAACAAAACACTTGTAAATCATCTTACATTACATTTACATAGCTATTTGACCTTAATAAAAAAAACAGCCAATCCAAAAGAAAGCCTATTTAGAGAATTTTATTTGGAACTCATGACTTCTCTATAAGAAATTGCTCACTACCATAATCTATTAATTTAGTCCTTACTTAACATTAAGTTTTCTGATAAGAATGAATGACATGTTGGGTATAGGACAATGAGACAGCAATCCAACAACACAAAAGAACCTAACAGAACAATTGTCATCTAGAGGTCAAAATACAGTCTTCTATGATAGAAAAGTGTCTGTACAGTATGTCAAGCTGTAAATTGTCTCAAGAAAAATTGTGAATAAATTTAATAGAATATCATAAATCCTCCATCAAAATAACATTACAATGACATTGAAACTTCCATTATGGGAATATTTGAATATCTTGTACCACATTTTTGAGGAGCAATGAAGAAAAAGTTACAGTTGAAGTTTTAGTTTTAAAAAAATCTGTTAAATAGAAAATAGACCTTGATACATTCACAGTTATAAGCATATTACATGATTTATCTTTAACAGGAAGTGACAATTACTGGTGGATAAATTGTCAGTTTGTACCTAATGATGACACCACTCTGATGGTGACTAGTAGTGTGTATATTCTACGAGGTGGTATGTCTAATGTCCAGGTTAGAAACATTCCAGCAGGAAAAGTATGCAAATTTTCCCTTGAATCTAATGGAATAAGTAAGTACAAAAAAAGAGAGGCGAAAGATACCAAAGGGATATTTAAACTCTTAAATCAAAAACAAACTGACAATGCCACAGCAAAAAAAAAAAACCACGAAAAGACAACAGTACACAAAACACAACATAGAAAAACTAAAGACTGAGCAACATGAACCCCATCTCAGGTGCTCCGGAAGGGTAAGCATATCCTGCTCCACATGTGGCACAGCCACATACAATGTACTAAACACTTACATCTCAAGAAATATAGATAGATAAAAATAAAGCATCAGTTATCGAAATATTGGTTTCTTAGATCATGTCAGTAGTTGGGTTGATCATATTCAAGTTTTATTTAAACATAAGTCAGGAAGAATGAATCAATAAAATTACAGTTCTTATAATCCCATTCTGAAGGGGGTATACTGCCATGACTTCTGTCCGTCACAATTTTATCAGGGATTATATATCAAAGATTCTTTTAAATTTGGTATCGAGCTTTATGTGAGTATGCATTATTGTGTGATGCATTTTCACATCCATAGCTAATCAACTTCTTATATTATAGCAGGGATATAATTTAGTAGGCAATATCTCACAGTGCAAAGATTCCTTTTTATATGAAAAATTGTGATTTTTAAACAGCAGTCCTATAGAAATTTAGTAAATAGATTTAACCAGATAGTAAAAATATAAATGTTATTGACATCACAGATTATTTATAAGCTTTTATATCAACATGATATTTTAAATTCAATAAGTAACTGTAACTTGATAGTTACAATGAAAGAAAGATAACTCTTACTTTTTTATGAGACATTGTTATGATTTTTATAAATGTCTGCAGCAGTTCTATAAATAATAAGAGAATAAAAAAAAATATTCTTATACATATTGGCCAATAAGGGACTAGAGTTGCATTCTCAAACCATTCAACACAATTTTTAAGCCCATATTTTAGCATGCATGATGAAAATGTCTATGATTTTTGTTGAACTCTCATCAATAACTTCCAGCTACCATCTCAAACCTGTGATCTTAGAATATTTAGAGAGATAGTCTACATTAATTGGAAAAAAAAAGGGATATGGGATGGATTAACACTACAGAAATAAATTGTATACTTCAACTTGTAGAATGGTTTTTAAAATACTTCCAATACAGAGATAAATTACTAAGCTTCATGCTGTTTACTCGAAGTCTGAAGAACAAAAATATTTATTCCTTATGACCTTTTCTAGAAAGTAATTTCTGAAGGTCTGAATTTAACTTTTCAATAAAAATTTGATACAATTTTACTTGCTATTCCCTTACCTGGCAAAGGGTAATGATTCTCTGCAAAGAAGAAACTGTTTCTTTATTATTATTCAATAACTTAAAATTTTCAGTTTCATAACCTAGTGTTGGTATGAAATATATTGGGTATAAAAAAGACCTGACTGGTCCAGTACCAGTTACCATCAGAAATTCAAAGTTTTTCTTGGAAATTTTTTAACAGGAGCTACTTTTAAACATATTCTTTTAACATACAAAGGTTTACCAAAAATACTGTAGACTAGGTTATTTCTTCTTTTTTGTAAGTCATTTAATTTTGATCACTAAATTTCAGGATGTGAACTTGTTAAAACAACAGGAAGTGGAACATGGCCTAAGTTACAGGTACATCCAGACTCATTTTATATCTGTTATTTAGATATCCATCAAGTTAAGTTCTTCCATTCTATCACAGATTCTGGTATCTCTAGTAAGGCACTAGACCCTCATTTCAGACAGTATCGTTCCTTTGCTCTGTCACCGAATGGAAAACAAATGTGTATATTGGCTCGTAATGGAAAGACAGATTATGACCTTGTAATATATGGTGTTAATGTGTATTCACATCCTGACTGTACGATACAGTGTAGTAAGATCAATAAAGATTTCCGTGGAACACCTACAAGAACAGACCTTGTGGATTGTAAATGGTCAATGGATAGTCGTAAAGTTGCCATTAGTATATCAACAGGTTATGTGATGATAATAGATATCACATCAAAGGATATTGTGTGCAACATATTCCCAGATATTTTGGATGACTGTAGTTTGAGTAGTGTCTCAGCTTTTGATTTTGATCCTCGATCTTGTTGCCAGATAATGGCAGTTGGGACTTCAGATGGATACCTACATATTGTCAACATTGAAGACAAAGACATCATATGCAAATCAGACTGTTATAAACAGGACAGCATTGATGTTGTTATGTACACTCCTGAAGGCAACATATTGGTTATTGCCTTGCACAGCTTCTCACTACATCTATATAACTCTTATACCTGCGACTTGGTGTATACAATTAACATGATAGATTCATGTCCAGAACTGGATTCTATTCTGTCATCTGGAAATTACCCATTTATTACTTCCATGGACATTACACGATCTGGAGAACAGCTAGCTACATGTTGTTCTGATGGGTATATCCGAGTTTGGCAGCTGCCACCTAAGTTGAACCTTAAGTTTATATGTAAATTAAGAATATTGAGTTTAGTTTTTCAGGGTGACATTAAGCATCTTCCACTACCTCATGCCCTAAAGGATTATTTGTTACCATTTCCTATGTCTTCTTAATTGGTAGTCAGATAAATTTTAATGATGTAATAACTTCAGATCTTGAGTTCTGAGTTTTGGCAGAGTGTAGAAAGTAGAAATCAATTCCACTGATAGTTTTGTTTGTTGTTGTTGTTGTGATCAATTGTGCAATCGTCTTCATGATGACCATAAGTTTACAGGGTATTTATATATTTGTTTATACAGAATAGCAATGAAAGCAGTTTTAGTAAGATGACATTACCAGTTGTATGCAATTTATTAATTACTCTAGCGTAATATAGCGTGATATGTAATGAAACCTGTTTAAGTCTATATTTCTTTACCTTGCAGTAAGATATGAATTGTAGAGTTCATCATTGAAGAATTTCGAGCAACAGTCATGATGGAGAATAGCAACAAAAGCATATTTTCTTGATAATTGGTTATTTCCCAGTATTTCATGAAAGTTTTGTCTCATCTGCACCCAAACCATGTTGCTTAACTCACAAATTTCTGAAATTAATTATTTTAAGATGTCTTATACTTGTTACTGTAGTTTTAGAAATTTTCTTGGTTCAGGTATTCTACACATATCCAAAGGGATTTTTGTCTTTTATATGATGATCATATGTGTTCAAAGTATCTATATAATAATGTATACATGATACTATACAATTCAGAATATCTATTTATATTTATTTTCTTGATAAAGCTGATATTTTTCATGTTTGTGACTTTTTTGATATTCTCTATTGTAATATTTTTAAGATGTATATCGTTGTTTATCTTTTTTCGTGTATTTGAAGGTTTTACATAAGTTAATGTATATTATGTCTGTGATATATTTAAACCTATGCTTACTGAAGATTGGGAAATATAGTGATTGTTGTGTACTGCCAGTTTGTCGGTGTTCCCTTGTTCCTTCATGATTTCATCTGTCTGCACTTTGTATCAGGATGTCTCTTAGACCACTGGTTCAATATCGGTAGACTTTCAGTGAATCATATGCACCTAATGTCACCATTTACCTCATAGCTTATCTTTTGATTCAAATAATGTTGGGGTTTTCCATAGCAAAACATGATTTTTTTCATATCTACAGAAGGGCATGGGCATCTTCTATCCACAACTTGTCCTAAATCATAGCTTGATTTCAATGAAAATTCCACAGAATTTTATTGATTTCCTAAAAGAATTGATACTATCAACGCTAATGGCTGCCAATGTTTCTAAAATTAGTAAATTATGGAAAAATAATTGGAAAAAATCTTGTAAAGCACCAATAACAACCAAACATTGGTTGAATGGTATATTTATGAATCTCTGTGAGAAGTATGGTGAATAATCAATAACTATAACCACGATCAAACATTGCTCCCACCAGTTATAAACATAGAAAATTTGAAGATTACATGTACCTTCTACCATGTTCAAGAATTAAGGTGGACGACCTTATAACATTGAAAATTTGAAGATTACATGTACCTTCTCCTTCAAGAATTAAGGTGGACGACCTTATAACATAGAAAATTTGAAGATTACATGTACCTTCTCCTTCAAGAATTAAGGTGGACGACCTTATAACATAGAAAATTTGAAGATTACATGTACCTTCTCCTTCAAGAATTAAGGTGGACGACCTTATAACATAGAAAATTTGAAGATAACATGTACCTTCTCCTTCAAGAATTAAGGTGGACGACCTTATAACATAGAAAATTTGAAGATTACATGTACCTTCTCCTTCAAAAATTAAGGTGGACGACCTTATAACATAGAAAATTTGAAGATTACATGTACCTTCTACCATGTTCAAGAATTAAGGTGGACGACCTTATAACATAGAAAATTTGAAGATTACATGTACCTTCTACCATGTTCAAGAATTAAGGTGGACGACCTTATAACATAGAAAATTTGAAGATTACATGTACCTTCTCCTTCAAGAATTAAGGTGGACGACCTTATAACATAGAAAATTTGAAGATTACATGTACCTTCTCCTTCAAGAATTAAGGTGGACGACCTTATAACATAGAAAATTTGAAGAAAAGTAATCAGCTAATATAACAAAAAAACAGTAGCTACAAAACTTTGATTACATGTACCTTCTCCTTCGAGAATTATGTATCATTCAATTATCACAAATTGGATCTGTGATTCATCCCAATATGATATTCTATGTTGTTGCAATTCCAGATGAGCTTACAAGCCTCTCTAACATGTCTAAGACACTTCTGTTAGTTCATATGTTGTATGATAAAGCAGTAACTGTTCCACTGAATCGAATGGAATTTTACAATGCCTTCAAATCCTATGAAATCACTTATTTTATATATTCTGACAATTTTCTAATTTATTATTCTGGAAGTGTGGGACTTTAATCATAGACAACTAGAAGTGTGGAACTTAAATCATTTGTTGTGATAAAACAGGTTTCTTTAACAAATTTTCACGAAATGTTAACACAGTAATCAGATCCATGAATGCAAACTCTCTTTCAATCTTGATAACTGGATTAGTAATTGTAATTTTAAAGTTATTGGACTTTATTCGTTAAAAAGGAATTATTGTATTCTGCAAAGTCCTGCTTTCTCGCAATCCCTAGTCCCAATAAGTTTTACAATTTTATAACCAACAGAAGTTACCTCCCTTTAAAATTTTGACTATTTTCAGTATATGTTCTAAAGTATTGATTTTGTTATGAAGGAAAAAAAGGTACTGTAGATTCAGACATTATTGGTGCATTTATTATTGCGATTTATAGAGAATATTGCAATTTCAGGAAATTCTTCATACAGATATATATATATGTATCAGTTCTTATTATTGTGATACTCAACCATGCAGTCATATTATTCACATTAATAAAAACCTGGCAATTATTTCTGAATTGACAGTATCAGAATTACAGGTGTATCATACTCAAACGGTGTAAGTTGTAACTATTTTGTTCTACTGTGATACATATCTCCGACCAATAGATAAATGTACTGGTACTGCATTTAACATATTTACTGTGATGGATGTTTCTATGATTGTATTGATTTTTACAAAAGATTTTCATGCATGAAGTTTATGCTTATACAGTAATTGTGTTTAAGATTATGATAATTATTCAATCTTTTAGCAATAAAAAAGGGTTTGTTTCTGTTTAAAAACATTCAATTCTTTGACATGGTTTAATACATGTATTTTTACTTGTAAACCTTACGGGTGACTGGGGTAAAGAAATATGGTTACATTGGTCTTCTTCCAACTGTCACTTAAACCTTTGCTTAAAAGAAGGGTGTCCATGTGGCTGTGCTGGATGCATAAATTCACAGCCACGTATGGTTGAATGTGTAGAGAGAGTGTCAATCTCTGCACGATAAAGAACTCTTACAACTCTTTTAAGGGTCCATAGGTGGCCTGTTGCCAGGCATAATTTCTGACCCTATCGAACATACCCTCATTTTCAGTGTCAGTCAAAATTTCCTACCTTTTGTATTTATTTTTGAGTTTTCTTCTTGAATATGCATAAAATAATTGCCACTGGATGTAAAACAAGCAACAATCAATCATTTTTTTTATATGGAACATTTCACCATCTTTGGTGGAAAATGACTGAAAATTATTGGTCTATGTGTTATTGATAAACATTGCATTTTAAGGTTTCTTGTTCAGGAAGGATGTTATTTCTGTGATGTAATATGTTTCCCTTATTCATTACAATAATACCAATTAATCCTTTGGTAGAGTTTGTGTGTCGTCTTGTTTTCATTTTTCAAAATATGATATTCCACCACTCCATCCATGATATGGAACATGACAGCTCAGTATAATTTGGGGCACTCTGACCTTTATTTGTATCATGTATTGTATTTCAATGATATTTGTCTAGTCCTATTGTTTTATATAGTACAAAACAACATTCAGGCCTCTATGATCACCACTTTCAGATAAGTCAGTTTCTGGTTAATGTCTCTATATTACAGACAACACTAATGGTAAAAAAAATTAAACATGTCATTCTTACTATATTTCAAAAACAATATTGTACAGCATAAAGTACATTTTGGCTTAATATCTTGCTTGTTATCAGTTTGGTGTTAGAAGACAAGTTAGTAGACTATGATATATATTAATATTTATTTTATGATAAACATTAATAATTTGTTAAAATCAATAAAAGATAAACACATTAAAAATCAAATTTCAGATTGTCTCAGATATCCCTGTTAGCACAGTCTAGAATACAATTTAATGACACTTTTGAAATAAAACATCATGGTAGTCTACTTTGTAGCTGTTCCCCATAATATTGGTCTGATTAAAAACACATAAGTATTTAAATTCAAATTATTAATTGAAGTTTTGGAAAATCCAGCTCTGTCTATAGCCTTGCCTGTTTCTTTGTTTACTTGACAATCTCCAGAAAAACAATACCATATTGGGTTTAACCATCCCTGCACTCTATGCAAACATGTCCCTCGTTTGGCTGCTACATGTTCTATGAAGTAAAATGTTCCATTCTACAAAAAATGAATAAGAGTGGATTGTTTTCACTTAAACTCATTGATTGATTGTATAATTACAATAAACAAACTTATTAATATATAAATATAGTATAGTTTATAATTCAATTATGAGTCCCCTTCCCTTAATTATAATGACTGCCTTAGAAATGGAACCTATGCTTTCTACCTGTTTGTGTGTTGATGGGCAGAGAATAAGTTTTAACAAACAACAAAATGCAGTTGTAAAAACTAAAAGGGGAGGCACTGAAAATTTTAGTTCAGCATAAATATAGCTACAGACAAATGTAGTACAAGCAGAATACCAAATATAACTAAGAGAGACCAGCAAATACATAGTAATGGTCAAGCAAACTTCAATTTATAGACAAACCAAAGACATATTTCAGAGACAAGCCCAATACAACTTACAGAGACAAACCCAATACAACTTACAGAGACAAACCCAATACAACTTACAGAGACAAATCCAATACAACTTATAGAGACAAACCCAATATAACCTACAGAGACAAACCCAATACAACTTGCAGGACAAACCCAATACAACCTTCAGAGACAAACCCACTACAATCTACAGAGACAAATCCATTATAACTTACAGTGACAAACCCAATACAACCTACAGAGACAAACCCAATACAACTTACACAGACAAACCCAATACAACCTACAGAGACAAACCCAATTCAACTTACACAGACAAACCCAATACAACTTACAGAGACAAACCTAATACAATCTACAGATACAAACCCAATACAACATACAGAGACAAACCCAATACGACTTACAGTGATCATCCCAATACCTTCAGAGGCAAACCCACTACAATCTACAGAGACAAATCCATTATAACCTACAGAGACAAACCCAATACAACCTACAGAGACAAACCCAATACAACTTACAGACAAACCCAATACTACTTAGAGAGACAAACCCAATACAACTTATACAGACAAACCCAATACAACTTACAGTGATTTCACCAGCAACCGACCTATTTGTAAATCGGATCATCGGATATCCTAGGGACTGAGATTCCGACACTACCGACCCCAGTATTAAAAGTCGGATCATCGGATATCATACAGGACTGAGATTACACCAGCTGCAGTACCGATCCAGTAGTATGAGAATGATCATCGGATATTCTAAGGGTGTAAAATTCAGATACTCGGATATCATAATTAAGTGACTGAGAATCTACAATTACCGACCGAGTAGTAATAATCGGATCATCGTAAATCCTAAGGGGCTAATATTTCACCTTTGTCGACCGAGTAGTGATAGTAAGATGACCAGACATCCTAAGGGACTGAGATTAGATACACGTACTACAGTCATATGTATCATTCAAATATATCCCTGGAAGGGTCTTTGGAAATTCTAATGGAATGTGATTCCACCAGCTGCTGACCTATTTGTAATAGTCGAAACATCGGATATCATAAGGGACTGTGCTTCCACCAGTAGCCGGCCATGTAGTAATTGGCGAATCATTGGATATCCAAAGGGACAGTGATTAAACCTGCAGCCTAGTACCGTCCCAGTAGTACAATATCGAAGTAGTCGGATCATCGGATATGGGATTGTGCTTCCTCCAGCAGCCGTCAAAGTAGTAAAAGTAGGATTATCGGATATCATAGGTGGTTGTGAATCCACCAGTAGCCGGCCCAGTAGTAATCGTCGGATCATCGGATATCCTAAGGGATTATGATTCCACCTGTAGCCGGTCCAGTTGTAAAAATCATCGGATATCCTAAGGTGTTGAGATTCCACCAGTTCTGACCAGTAGTAAAAGTCAAATCATCCGATATCCTAAGGTGTTGAGATTCCACCGGTATCGACCCAGTAGTAATAGTCATATCATCTGATATCCTAATGGACTAAAAATCCAATACAACATATAGAGACAAACCCAATAAAACCTACAGAGACAAACCCAATACAACCTACAGAGACAAACCCAATACACCCTACAGAGACGAACCCAATACAATATACAGAGACAAACCCAATACAACTAACAGAGACAAGCCCAATACAAATTATGGAGACAAGCCCACTACAACTTATAGATAAAAACCCAATACAACATACAGAGACAAATTCAATACAACCTACAGAGACAAACCCAATACAACCTACAGAGACAAGCCCAATACAACATACACTGACAAACCCAATACAACTTACAGTGACAAACCCAATACAACTTACACAGACAAACCCAATACAACCTACTGAGACAAACCCAATACAACCTACACAGACAAACCCAATATAACCTACACAGACAAACCCAAAACAACATCCAGAGACAAACCCAATACAAAGTACAGAGACAAACACAATACAACCAACACAGACAAACCCAATACAATATACAAAGAACCCAATACAACTTATAGAGACAAGCCCAAGACAAATTACGGAGACAAGCCTACTACAACTTATGGATACAAACCCAATACAACATACAGAGACAAACCCAAAACAACATCCAGAGACAAACCCAATACAAAGTACAGAGACAAACCCAATACAACCTACAGAGACAAACCCAATACAATATACAAAGAGCCCAATACAACATACAGAGACAAACTCAATACAACTTACAGTGGCAAGCCCAATACAACTTACAGAGACAATCCCAATACAACATACAGAGACAAACCCAATACAACTTACAGTGACAAACCCAATACAACTTGCACAGACAAACCCAATACAACCTACAGAGACAAACCCAATACAACTTACACAGACAAACCCAATACAACCTACAGAGACAAACCCAATTCAATCTACACAGACAAACCCAATACAACTTACAGAGACAAAACTAATACAATCTACAGATACAAACCCAATACAACATACAGAGACAAACCCAATACGACTTACAGTGATCAACCCAATACCTTCAGAGACAAACCCACTACAATCTACAGAGACAAATCCATTATAACCTACAGAGACAAACCCAATACAACCTACAGAGACAAACCCAATACAACTTACAGACAAACCCAATACTACTTAGAGAGACAAACCCAATACAACTTATACAGACAAACCCAATACAACTTACAGTGATTTCACCAGCAACCGACCTATTTGTAAATCGGATCATCGGATATCCTAGGGACTGAGATTCCGACACTACCGACCCCAGTATTAAAAGTCGGATCATCGGATATCATACAGGACTGAGATTACACCAGCTGCAGTACCGATCCAGTAGTATGAGAATGATCATCGGATATTCTAAGGGTGTAAAATTCAGATACTCGGATATCATAATTAAGTGACTGAGAATCCACAATTACCGACCGAGTAGTAATAATCGGATCATCGTAAATCCTAAGGGGCTAATATTTCACCTTTGTCGACCGAGTAGTGATAGTAAGATGACCAGACATCCTAAGGGACTGAGATTAGATACACGTACTATAGTCAAAATGTATCATTCAAATATATCCCTGGAAGGGTCTTTGGAAATTCTAATGGAATGTGATTCCACCAGCTGCCGACCTATTTGTAATAGTCGAAACATCGGATATCATAAGGGACTGTGCTTCCACCAGTAGCCGGCCATGTAGTAATTGGCGAATCATTGGATATCCAAAGGGACAGTGATTAAACCTGCAGCCTAGTACCGTCCCAGTAGTACAATATCGAAGTAGTCGGATCATCGGATATGGGATTGTGCTTTCTCCAGCAGCCGTCAAAGTAGTAAAAGTAGGATTATCGGATATCATAGGTGGTTGTGAATCCACCAGTAGCCGGCCCAGTAGTAATCGTCGGATCATCGGATATCCTAAGGGATTATGATTCCACCTGTAGCCGGTCTAGTTGTAAAAATCGTCGGATATCCTAAGGTGTTGAGATTCCACCAGTTCTGACCAGTAGTAAAAGTCAAATCATCCGATATCCTAAGGTGTTGAGATTCCACCGGTATCGACCCAGTAGTAATAGTCATATCATCTGATATCCTAATGGACTAAAAATCCAATACAACATATAGAGACAAACCCAATAAAACCTACAGAGACAAACCCAATACAACCTACAGAGACAAACCCAATACACCCTACAGAGACGAACCCAATACAATATACAGAGACAAACCCAATACAACTAACAGAGACAAGCCCAATACAAATTATGGAGACAAGCCCACTACAACTTATAGATAAAAACCCAATACAACATACAGAGACAAATTCAATACAACCTACAGAGACAAACCCAATACAACTTACACAGACAAACCCAATACAACCTACAGAGACAAACCCAATACAACCTACAGAGACAAACCCAATACAACCTACACAGACAAACCCAATACAACCTACACAGACAAACCCAATACAAAGTACAGAGACAAACACAATACAACCAACACAGACAAACCCAATACAATATACAAAGAACCCAATACAACTTATAGAGACAAGCCCAAGACAAATTACGGAGACAAGCCTACTACAACTTATGGATACAAACCCAATACAACATACAGAGACAAACCCAAAACAACATCCAGAGACAAACCCAATACAAAGTACAGAGACAAACCCAATACAACCTACAGAGACAAACCCAATACAATATACAAAGAGCCCAATACAACATACAGAGACAAACTCAATACAACTTACAGTGGCAAGCCCAATACAACTTACAGAGACAATCCCAATACAACATACAGAGACAAACCCAATACAACTTACAGTGACAAACCCAATACAACTTACACAGACAAACCCAATACAACCTACAGAGACAAACCCAATACAACTTACACAGACAAACCCAATACAACCTACAGAGACAAACCCAATTCAATCTACACAGACAAACCCAATACAACTTACAGAGACAAACCTAATACAATCTACAGATACAAACCCAATACAACATACAGAGACAAACCCAATACGACTTACAGTGATCAACCCAATACCTTCAGAGACAAACCCACTACAATCTACAGAGACAAATCCATTATAACCTACAGAGACAAACCCAATACAACCTACAGAGACAAACCCAATACAACTTACAGACAAACCCAATACTACTTAGAGAGACAAACCCAATACAACTTATACAGACAAACCCAATACAACTTACAGTGATTTCACCAGCAACCGACCTATTTGTAAATCGGATCATCGGATATCCTAGGGACTGAGATTCCGACACTACCGACCCCAGTATTAAAAGTCGGATCATCGGATATCATACAGGACTGAGATTACACCAGCTGCAGTACCGATCCAGTAGTATGAGAATGATCATCGGATATTCTAAGGGTGTAAAATTCAGATACTCGGATATCATAATTAAGTGACTGAGAATCCACAATTACCGACCGAGTAGTAATAATCGGATCATCGTAAATCCTAAGGGGCTAATATTTCACCTTTGTCGACCGAGTAGTGATAGTAAGATGACCAGACATCCTAAGGGACTGAGATTAGATACACGTACTATAGTCAAAATGTATCATTCAAATATATCCCTGGAAGGGTCTTTGGAAATTCTAATGGAATGTGATTCCACCAGCTGCCGACCTATTTGTAATAGTCGAAACATCGGATATCATAAGGGACTGTGCTTCCACCAGTAGCCGGCCATGTAGTAATTGGCGAATCATTGGATATCCAAAGGGACAGTGATTAAACCTGCAGCCTAGTACCGTCCCAGTAGTACAATATCGAAGTAGTCGGATCATCGGATATGGGATTGTGCTTCCTCCAGCAGCCGTCAAAGTAGTAAAAGTAGGATTATCGGATATCATAGGTGGTTGTGAATCCACCAGTAGCCGGCCCAGTAGTAATCGTCGGATCATCGGATATCCTAAGGGATTATGATTCCACCTGTAGCCGGTCTAGTTGTAAAAATCGTCGGATATCCTAAGGTGTTGAGATTCCACCAGTTCTGACCAGTAGTAAAAGTCAAATCATCCGATATCCTAAGGTGTTGAGATTCCACCGGTATCGACCCAGTAGTAATAGTCATATCATCTGATATCCTAATGGACTAAAAATCCAATACAACATATAGAGACAAACCCAATAAAACCTACAGAGACAAACCCAATACAACCTACAGAGACAAACCCAATACACCCTACAGAGACGAACCCAATACAATATACAGAGACAAACCCAATACAACTAACAGAGACAAGCCCAATACAAATTATGGAGACAAGCCCACTACAACTTATAGATAAAAACCCAATACAACATACAGAGACAAATTCAATACAACCTACAGAGACAAAACCAATACAACCTACAGAGACAAGCCCAATACAACATACACTAACAAACCCAATACAACTTACAGTGACAAACCCAATACAACTTACAGTGACAAACCCAATACAACTTACACAGACAAACCCAATACAACCTACACACAAACCCAATACAACCTACACAGACAAACCCAATACAACCTACACAGACAAACCCAATACAACCTACAGAGACAAACCCAATACAACCTACAGAGACAAACCCAATACAACCTACACAGACAAACCCAATACAACCTACACAGACAAACCCAATACAACCTACAGAGACAAACCCAATACAACCTACACAGACAAACCCAATACAACATACACAGACAAACCCAAAACAACATCCAGAGACAAACCCAATACAAAGTACAGAGACAAACACAATACAACCAACACAGACAAACCCAATACAATATACAAAGAACCCAATACAACTTATAGAGACAAGCCCAAGACAAATTACGGAGACAAGCCTACTACAACTTATGGATACAAACCCAATACAACATACAGAGACAAACCCAAAACAACATCCAGAGACAAACCCAATACAAAGTACAGAGACAAACCCAATACAACCTACAGAGACAAACCCAATACAATATACAAAGAGCCCAATACAACATACAGAGACAAACTCAATACAACTTACAGTGGCAAGCCCAATACAACTTACAGAGACAATCCCAATACAACATACAGAGACAAACCCAATACAACTTACAGTGACAAACCCAATACAACTTACACAGACAAACCCAATACAACCTACAGAGACAAACCCAATACAACTTACACAGACAAACCCAATACAACCTACAGGGACAAACCCAATTCAATCTACACAGACAAACCCAATACAACTTACAGAGACAAACCTAATACAATCTACAGATACAAACCCAATACAACATACAGAGACAAACCCAATACGACTTACAGTGATCAACCCAATACCTTCAGAGACAAACCCACTACAATCTACAGAGACAAATCCATTATAACCTACAGAGACAAACCCAATACAACCTACAGAGACAAACCCAATACAACTTACAGACAAACCCAATACTACTTAGAGAGACAAACCCAATACAACTTATACAGACAAACCCAATACAACTTACAGTGATTTCACCAGCAACCGACCTATTTGTAAATCGGATCATCGGATATCCTAGGGACTGAGATTCCGACACTACCGACCCCAGTATTAAAAGTTGGATCATCGGATATCATACAGGACTGAGATTACACCAGCTGCAGTACCGATCCATTAGTATGAGAATGATCATCGGATATTCTAAGGGTGTAAAATTCAGATACTCGGATATCATAATTAAGTGACTGAGAATCCACAATTACCGACCGAGTAGTAATAATCGGATCATCGTAAATCCTAAGGGGCTAATATTTCACCTTTGTCGACCGAGTAGTGATAGTAAGATGACCAGACATCCTAAGGGACTGAGATTAGATACACGTACTATAGTCAAAATGTATCATTCAAATATATCCCTGGAAGGGTCTTTGGAAATTCTAATGGAATGTGATTCCACCAGCTGCCGACCTATTTGTAATAGTCGAAACATCGGATATCATAAGGGACTGTGCTTCCACCAGTAGCCGGCCATGTAGTAATTGGCGAATCATTGGATATCCAAAGGGACAGTGATTAAACCTGCAGCCTAGTACCGTCCCAGTAGTACAATATCGAAGTAGTCGGATCATCGGATATGGGATTGTGCTTCCTCCAGCAGCCGTCAAAGTAGTAAAAGAAGAATTATCGGATATCATAGGTGGTTGTGAATCCACCAGTAGCCGGCCCAGTAGTAATCGTCGGATCATCGGATATCCTAAGGGATTATGATTCCACCTGTAGCCGGTCCAGTTGTAAAAATCATCGGATATCCTAAGGTGTTGAGATTCCACCAGTTCTGACCAGTAGTAAAAGTCAAATCATCCGATATCCTAAGGTGTTGAGATTCCACCGGTATCGACCCAGTAGTAATAGTCATATCATCTGATATCCTAAATGGACTGTGATTCGTCGAACAACCGGCACAGTATTGATAGTCGGATCATCAGATATCATTAGGTGTTGAGATTCCACCAGTACTGACCCAGTAGTAATAGTCAAATCATCGGATATCCTTATGGACAGAGATTTCACCAGCAGCTTAGTACCGACCCCGTATTAATAGTCAAATCATCTGATATCCTAAGGGGTTGAGATTCCACCAGCACTGACCCAGAAGTAATGGTCAAATCATCTAATATCCTAAGGTGTTGAGTTTCCACCAGTACTGACCAAGCAGTAATAGTCAAATCATCTGATATCCTAAAGTGTTGAGTTTCCACCAGTACTGACCCAGTAGTAATAGTCAAATCATCTGATATCCTAAGGTGTTGAGTTTCCACCAGCACTGACCCAGTAGTGATGGTCAAATCATCTAATATCCTAAGGTGTTAAGTTTCCACCAGTACTGACCCAGTAGTAATAGTCAAATCATCTGATATCCTAAGGTGTTGAGTTTCCACCAGTACTGACCCATTAGTAATATGCAAATCATCGGATATGCATACGGGATAGAGATTTAACCAGTAGCAGTACCGACCCAGTAGTAATAGTAACAGACCAAAACACTGTTTACACAGAAACAAATCTGGTTAAAACCTTTCGAAATTTTTGGTCCTCAATGCTCTTCAACTTCGTACTTTATTTGACCTTTTTCAAATTTTGTAGAAATTTTTAATCCTGGTATCTATGATGGGTCTATGATGAGTTTATTGGATTTTATTTAATATACACGTACTTTATTGTGTTGATCCTTAATGTTCTTTTCAAGGACTCCTGACGCATTTTATCACTAAATATACTTCGAGTACTATTGATATATATTAGTCTCAAATGCTGACAAGAATTCTTCAATATATGAATACTTACTGGTTTCAGCACACGGCGAACTTCTGACATAGTTTTGTCCAAGTCACGTACAGAACATAAAACCATGGAACATACAACAGAGTCGACACTATCGTCCTCTACAGTTTCCAGTTTCTCGGCAAAGCCTTGAATAAAACGCTTCATCTCGACATTACTTTCTTCTATGCTTTGCTGTATGTAACTTTTGAAATTTGGGTTTGGGTCCAAACATACAACTTGACTCCCTGATGGATAAAATGTAAAGTTAGCACCACCACCAACACCGATCTCCAGTATTTGAAGTTTCTGGCTTCTATTCGTTTTTTGTTCTTCTAGATTAGAAAACAATCTTTTTTTCGTAGCCACAATTTCCCTTTTCTTGTTAAATCTGGCCATTAAGTTGGCTAAAACTATCGCAGCTAGCTTTCTTTTTAAGCTTTTAAATGTCACACCTTTCTGTCTGTAATACCATATTGTTCCCACTACTAATGCAAATGGGAATATCTTCCACGTTACAAATCTTCGAACATCGGCATCCTCTATCGCCATTGCCACTCGATCTAGCTATTGACCTACAGGTGTTAATGTAATATTGCAAATAACCCGAATAATTCAGTCGTTATATTCCACTGCTCTACGATGGCTACATTAACCCTCGCGAGTGGGAGAGTCGATCACGGGGAGGGACTGAATTATTCGGGTTATATTGCAAACTACACAATCGGCAAACCTCGAGTGAATCCATGCTCGGACGTGTCCAGAGTTATGTCGCTTTGTATACCAATGATAAAATTGTAGCTGCAATGTCTCGGGGCGAAAGTGTCATATCTAAATCGTTTTGTTTACTTCAAATTTTGTATTTGACAATTTTTGTCTGGCGAGCTCAAACTGAAACTAATACATAATTTCTTTATCATATAACTTGCTTATATCAATATTCTAAATAGTAATTCCCCAACAGTATTAAAAATTGTTGTGAACTATTTGAATGAATGCTTTTTTGTGAGAAACTCGTTGTCCGGCAAAAGGCACTTGATTTTTTATATTTTTCTCATGTGTTAGTGCTAATAAAGTTATCTTATCTTATCATAATATAAAGGTCCCAAACTCAAAGACTATATGGTCTTTTTTCTTTTTTAGCTATGGCGTTGTCACTTTATTTTCGACTTATGAGTTTTAATGTCCTTTTGGTATCTTTCGCCTCTCTTTTAAAAGCTACAAAAAAAAAGAAAAGACGGAAGGTTTGAGTGCATATAGTATATCAACCGTGATTTTTTGTGATTGATTGATTAATTGATTGATTGGTTGATTGATTGGTGTTTAATGCCACTTTCAGCACTATTGTGCTATCTTGTGGCGGTAACTTTTTATTGGTGGAGGACTCCGGAGTGCCCAGAGAGAACCATCAACATTCCAGGGACGGATCCAGCCATTTATAAAAGGGGGGGGGGGTCCTAACCCAGGATAAAGGGGGGTTCCAACTATATGTCCCCATTCAAATGCATTGATCGTCAAAAAAAGGGGGGTTCAAATCGTAGCTTGACGATAGAACGAATGCTATATAGCAGTCTTTAATTATTTCATAAGACAATAATTTCACATCATCGCTAGCCAAGGGTTACGACCCAGAGGAGGGGACTCGGGATCGTAACCCTTGGCTATAGCGAAGATGATAATTTCAAAACACGACTTCTTTTAGGACATTTTCGTGAACATGAGTCATAACCACTAAGCTTCGAATTGATGTGACCACACACTACTCTAAACACCGAAACTTTAACATACCTGAAACCAGATCTTTAGCCTTATACGGGCCTTATATGCACTGACCGAACATCCTAATCAGTGTTTAAAACTTTTGTACGTGTGTTTGTGAGTTATGTGCATTGCTTTAGATCTAATTTAACACGTTTTTATTTACTATTCACGATATTAAATTATTGGTTTGGACAGTTGTGCAAATGTTTCTTTGTGTTTTATATTTGGTCACGTTTAAGAAGACATTCGAAAGCTATTACGTGTTAGCGCATTATCTAAATCACACAATCACAAAACAAATTCTTAATAGACCGATATTATTTGCACTTCTTGAACAAATGTATTGATATATACAAGTGCACTGGTATAAAGGGAAAACGTCAATCTATAAAACCACTTTCCAGTGTTTGATAAACTATGTTGCTTGACATCAAAGGAAGGTTAAACTTTTATCATTCCAACACCAATCGATGATCCTGGTGGGGGAGTGTAGCAACTTTCTACTGATAAAGTTCATATCTCAATAATACAGACCATACCCGGGTGCTGTAATGATTCATTCATCTGAAATCGATATATATAAAAAGCTTTTGAGAAGTTTTAATTTCAAGGAAAAAACTGGGGGGTGGGGGAGGGGGCATTTTTTTCGTTGGAATATTCTTTGAAAGAATAGAAGACTTCGTCAATGGATGCGGATTCCCGGTTGCAAACAGACGAACAGAGGACTGCGTTAACCAACAGAGGCAGTTGTAATTTCCTCTGAATTTATTTCACCTTGGAGCCATATCCAAACAGTTTTTCAGTCTGTACTAAAGTTTAGCATCACAGCTTCATGTGTGTACTTTAAGGTCAGAAGCACTTTAACGTATACAATATAACATATATACAAGACCGGATTCGCTTGACCTTGATTGATATCATTTTATGGTTCAGTGATCAACGTGAAATTTTCTTGATTATGTCCGTTTCTCAGATACTATAAGTAATATGTCAGTTTTATTGGGTGTAAACAAATATTGTAAAGTGTACATATCCGCCTGACCTCGACCTTATTTTTATGGTTCATTAGTCAAAGATATGTTTGTTACCGCTGTAAAGAATATAATGAATAGTTTCATATACACAATGATCTCATTCTCACGAAACATTTTCTTATATTTTTTTTCATTACAAAAACTGTTCTAAATTAAAATGGCAATGACAAATGGCACATAATTATCAATACAATTATATTTTTTAATCCGAAGAAGATGAGTTTCTATAATTAACATGATGAACTCTGGAAGAAGGAAACTCTCCGTTTTTCAAGTGTCACAATTAGACATTGGTTATCCAAAGTTCAGTAAAAGTTTAAAAACTTTTTGTTGAATGATAAATCATGATTTCAATAATTACGGTTCTACACCATTGTGTTATGAATTCTAAACCAGTGCTTATTTTCCACGTGTAAACGTTGTTTCCATCCCCTGTGATTTGTGTTCCTTTATTCGTGTGTATTAGAAGTGATTGACCTTCCCGCCTTTAACCCTAAAAATTGTAAAGAAATGAATTGATAAACGGAATTTAAGAGATAAAGTGTAAAATGTAGGGAATTATTCCGTCCTTAAGTAGGATTAAACGACATTACCTTGTTTATTTATACCCTTATCTTACTTGGCACGACCACAAACTTAACGGTTGTAATATGGGTGTAGAAAAATAACTTCTCATGTTCTTAGGATCCAAATGTTTCTTTGTATTCAGTTGAAATCATGTAAAAGAAACTTGACATGCAGATTAAACATATGGAGAACTTGTTAAATGTTGAGAAATGCCACTGGTAAAACCAAGGTCATAACACGCTGCTAGTGTATTTATCATGATTCTTCTATTTATTTAAAATGAAATGCTCACAGCAAAACAAAATTAGAAGTGATTTCACCTGGACACGAAAATAATCACTGTACGCTTCGGCAAGCTGATACTAGATATATCTTTCCTTCCAATACACTTTAAAAAATTAATAAAATAACCTCTAATATTTACTCAACTGTACCACTAAACATATTACAAAAACATGTATAACATGGCAGCTGTATACTTTCATAAAAGTCGATTTGATCCTAGACCCGGTGTCCACTGCGCTTCGGGTTGCGGTCGCGTCACAGTACTCGTAATGAAACAATAGTGAACTCGGTATTTAAATTAAAGAACGTTGTTTATTTCCACAAAACGCATTTAGTGACTAAAGAATAAGTATCTAGAACACTCAAGTCTAGAGAAAAGCATTTCATATACTGGAATTTTGCATAAATGAGTTTTACAGTTTGAGGATTGTAAAAGTTCCAGTTAGAGTGAGCTCTTTAAAATGAAATAATGCATCAGTTTTTTTAGGGGCTGTAGTATCAGAGACATATAATACAATATGTGTATTATATGTCTCTGTTGATATCTAACAAGAGTGCACACGCTGAAATGTCTCGCCTTCTTTATTAATCATTGATATTATGTTGATAGTCCTAAATATAAAGCTTTATTACAACTGTCACATAAACTTAACATTAACCAAGTAAACTAAACATTGACCAATGAACCATGAAAATGAGGTCAAGGTCAGATGAACCATGCTAGGCAGGCATGTACAGCTAACAATTCTTCCATACAACAAATATAGTTGACCTATTGCTTATAGTTTAAGAAAAACAGACCAAAACACAAAAACTTAACACTGAGCAATGAACCTTGAAAATTAGGCCAAGGTCAAATAAAACCTGCGTGACTGACATATGGATCATAAAATATTTTCATACATCAAATATAGTTGAACTATTGCATATAGTATTAGAAAAAAAGACCAAAACTCAAAAACTTAACTTTGACCACTGAACCATGAAAATGAGGTCAAGGTCAGATGACACCTGCCAGCTAGACATGTACACCTTACAATCATTCCATACACCAAATATGGTAGATCTACTGCATACAGTATAAGAAAAACAGACCAAAACACAAAAACTTAACTATAACCACTGAACCATGAAAATGAGGTCAAGGTCAGATGACACCTGCCAGTTGGACATGTACACCTTACAGTCCTTCCATACACCGAATATACTAGACCTATTGCTTATAGTATCTGAGATATGGACTTGACCACCAAAACTTAACCTTGTTCACTGATCCATGAAATGAGGTCGAGGTCAAGTGAAAACTGTCTGACGGGCATGAGGACCTTGCAAGGTAAGCACATACCAAATATAGTTATCCTATTACTTATAATAAGAGAGAATTTAACATTACAAAAAATCTTAACTTTTTTTTGAAGTAGTCACTGAACCATGAAAATGAGGTCAAGGACATTGGACATGTGACTGACGGAAACTTCGTAACATGAGGCATCCATATACAAAGTATGAAGCATCCAGATCTTCCACCTTCTAAAATATAAAGCTTTTAAGAAGTAAGCTAACGCCGCAGCCGCCGCCGCCGGATCACTATCCCTATGTCGAGCTTTCTGCGACAAAAGTCGCAGGCTCGACAATAAAATTATTAAGAAATTGAAGCTGTGGTTGTTTTTTCCCGGTTACCATATAGAAAAAAATCCATTCGGGATAAACCTTCAGTTACTATGAAACTTGGAACGGTTTTAGTGTTAGAGTTAATCCTCTGCCCATTCGGTCACCTTAACAGAATGTTTAACGTAATAACTGTCAAAGAGGTCGCCTTTAATGGAGCTTAACGGAGCAAGTATTCAAGTAATGGACTGGCCAAATCTGTGCGGAATTTTTACTCGAAATGTCCGTTAGTGATTTTGCTTTTATATAATAGGACCTATAGCGTTGACACACACAAAAAAACCCGAACAAACTGATAATTAAATATTTAAAAGCAAACTTTGTTCATATATGGAAAACATTATACACAATAGCATAAAGGCAGTTAATTTAAATATTACTTGAGTACCAATTAATGACCGTGAGAAAA